AGGCACAAATAAAATTGCCTCACTTATGCTTTCTTTAAATTGCTTTATAAAGTAATGGAATATTTAGTGGTGCATTACACACCAAAGTTAATTGGTTATTGTTTCACAGTGATCATTTTTATTTTCATTTTGAGACCTGTGATTAACAGATAAATGAGGAATGAACAGATATAATTCTGTTTTGTGTTAATTATTGGAAAAAGTACCTATGATAAAAGAACATTTCTTTCTGGGAAGAAGATAGTTCACAGAATGCTGGGAATATATAATTTGACTGGACTTTCAGGAAGAAATTTAACTTTCTTATAATATAAAAAAATAGGTTGACAAATATATGTTGGATATGAACATGTTCTGGCAGCAGAGTTGGAACTGAAGATCAGCAAATTCACCCTATAGAACAACTGTAGGGTTGTTCTACAGTCAGTCAGTGTAATAGTAATGCATCATTGCTGTTCTGCTATACATGAACATATAGTACTTGGCCAATGTTCTCTATCTGATGGCCTCTGATGTATGAGATTACAATTCCTAAAATTCCCGAACAAGTTATTTAATAGAGTAAGTATTACTCTTTCATTTTCACTCAATTACATGTTTAGAATGCAGAATAGGGCATAATCATAATATCTTCTCTCAAAGACTTCTTGAGTTAATCAATGTGAACAGCTACAGTTGTTAAATGCATATTTTACTTAGGAACTTACTGAGATTTCTTTTGTGCATATGATTTGTATGTGGAATGAAATAAAGGATAACTTCTCTGCTTACCATTTAGAGATCTGAGGTTTGTAAAAAGCAAAACAAAACAACCCTCCACCTTATATACTAAGTGAAAGATGGCCCTGGGCATACAGTTACATATACTGATTTTCCTCATAGTGCATTCGATCTGTGATTGTGGACAACCAGATGCCTGTGCCACCACCACCTCCACCTCTCCCTCCCTTTTCCTCTGGAGGACCACCACCTCCACCTCCTCCTCCACCACCACCACCACCTCCTCCATCTTCTTCTGGAGTTCCTCCATCGCTAACTTCCCCTACTTTTTTTTCATCATCATCTGGAGATCATCCTCCTCCACCACCACTACCTTCATTTCCTCTGGTAAGTTTTTTTTTTCCTCCCGGTTTGATTAAACTTTAAAGAGTGCTAGTCATATTTGCCTTCTGTAGGTGGCAGCACCTAACTAGGTTTAGCTGATCTTGAAAAAAGGCCAGTTAGTGTTAGATCTGTTTGGTATTTAGATGGGAGGTCATTGTGAAATCTGAGGTTCTAAGGTAGATCCAAACTTGAAAAAACTTATTTGGACGTTAACAGACGTTGAACTTTATTTCTGAAAAATTTTAATAGTAATACTACTGTACATTTAAACATGCACTTTAAAGCTGTGTAAAATCTAAAATGCTGGAGTTTTGTTAATTGCTGCATTTTAAATGCATTTTTAAAAGAAAAATAGGAGGAACAGTTTATTCTTGAAAATACATACATATATTTGTTAAGTAAATGTTTATATTTTCTATTTTTATTTAAAGTGCCATGCAATTATTTTCATTTTCTATTATGTTTAGTTTATCTTAATTGCTTAGATTTGGTGTTTATAATATTTTGCTAACACAGTTTATGTATTATAATTGCTGCATTCTATAATATAGTTGATAGTTCACCTTCTAATCTTGATTGTGTTATGTTAATCAGGTATATTATTAATCCAGTATACTTTCAGCTCATTCCTTTTCTAATTACAAAGAGTACTGTGATATTACAAACTGTATCTCTTAAGAAAACCTCCATATATTTATGATTGATGCATACAAACTGGTCTTTCTAATATGAGAATAAAAGGGCTTTTTTGTTTTATTTTTCACTTTTTACAAATTATAGAAATATTTTTGTAAATCTATTAGATTAGCTAGCTTTAGAAATAGTTTAGCTTTAAAACTACTTTATCTCATTTTTTTTCCTTGGATTTAAGATATTCTAATTTTATTGTAAGGTGTCTGGAAAAATATCACAAGCCATTGTTCTTTTAGAATAGGTATTCTGTTATTTATTCTGATAATTATTGCAGTGAAAACTGATCATCTTAAAGAGATCTGGAAAGCAGATAGTTGTAGCAACTAAAATACATAGTGGGAATATTAATACAGTATTGTACTAATGAAGGCTTTGACAGAATATCATCAACTCTCATTTCTTTTCTTTTATGAAGAAAGATGCAAATCAGGAATAAAAGACATGCAAGCAAGTTCATTCTGTTTTATTGCACATTGATTTCAGGTCAATTAATTTCAGGATACATATCAATTGAGTTTTGATATTAAGCAATCAGGGTGATGCTTGCCATGCCAGAAGGCAGGAATCTGGTGTACATTAGACAGAACTGAAGTATTAAGGCAGAAATCAAAGGAAAGAGAACCAATAAGAGCAAAACAAGGATTCAAGTTAGCATTATAAAGTCATGTGCAGAAAATTGTCTTGGATTTTAAATCATCCTCTATTTGGATTGTAACTGGGCTTTAAATATACTTAAACATTTTTTTAAAAGTTTTTAAAAAGGAGGTCAAGATATGGAAATTGCCTCTGGGCCAAAGACTGAATGAATGTTTGAGTCATCTGATCTGGTCAAAATTTTCCCTAGTTCTTAGACCAATTGGTTCACTTCTGTGGCTGCCTAATTTTAAACTTTCCATGGTCCAAAAATATGAAGCTTAGCCTGCTAGTGGAAAATGTATAAGTACTGCTCACCCTTGGAGATCACCAAACCTAACCTCTGGGGAGCCACTTGGAAATCTCCCAAGCTCTTTACAATACATATTAATGTAAGAGTTTTCTAGATAGGATTTTCTGCACATTCAGAACTTAACAAGATTGAATTAAAGGACTAATCCAGTATGTTAATCAACTAAAAAACTATTCAGATCAATATTTACACTTTGTTAATCTGTGACAATGAAAGAAATGTTTCCATATCTTACTCACTTATCTGTGGACTCCATCAAATGTATTCACAAAGAATAATATCTTTCTCTTTCATGTTTATTATCTTTTAAAAATAAAAATGTGAAAAGCCACATGCAGCCAAATCTACAGTTGAATTTCTGAATAATTGTGCAGATTATAAAAATTCAGGTGAAGAATCCAGTGAGAAAAAGTGTGTGTGTGTGCATACAGATGTGTGATTAAAAAAAATACCCTTTGGATTGTTCGGTATGATCATATATTGCTCTTTGATTTTCAGAGATGTCTAGAGTTAACTTTAACATTTTGTCAGGTCAAATTAGACAGTAGGCAAAAACGCATAAGTGATGAACTGCATAAGTGATGAACAGACATAAGTTCAACTGTTGACATAGTTGGTGTGCCTACACAATTCAGTACAATATATGACCTTTAAAAAACTAAAGTGAATTAGTTCATGAGGCTGCATCTACTAAGCCTCAAGTTTATCAGCTATTATAATCCTCTGATATTCCTTCAAAATATAGTATAAGCATAATTTCCTCATACTTTGCTTTTTATTCACATTTTCATAGTATTATATTTCTTTCCATATATTTACACAATGTAGTCTTTTAAAAATTTAAAGAAATTTTCTTCATTAATATAAATTATAAACTAGGACCAAAAAAATCATCTCTGTTACATCCAGAGATGACACTACATCAATAGGTGGCCTTCTTTAGCCATGCAGAAGGCTGCAGAATAATCGTGAGGCCCAACGATTATTCAGTCCCATAAGTTCTGCCTAACCTTACTTAATATCTATATGGAATTTTTGGAGAGGGATAAATGTAGTGGCAATTATTTGATCTTGGTAAATCTAGATATTAAGAACAGGACTTTGGAGAAGTATATGGATTGAATCTGGCCACATCTCATACCTGAACATATATGAATTGGCAACAAAAACATGCAAACCAAATCAAGCCAAACTGATATCGGTTAGACTCCGGATTGGATACTTTATTTGCCATTTCAGTGAGATTTTATATTTATTCACTTAAGGCTTATTGGAAGGACTTTGAGTTGGATAAAGAAAAAAGATTTACTGTGTCCTTTCTCCTTGACAATTTAGCCTGTTAAATGTATGAGTCATTCGATCCCTTTTTTAAAAGAAAAACTGTACTTGTTATTTAACGCAGCATTCCTTATATAAGGAATAATAGAATATCTCCTAACGGCTGCCAAAGAAAATGAGCACCAACTGTTCATGTTCTTATTTCATAAAGCAAGGTCATGGAAATTAATTTTATTCTTATTTGCAAATGCATCTGTGGGATTTAATAAAAGAAGTAACCTTTACTTTCTTGTTGCTTTTGAACTCTAGGAGGGAATTAAGAAAGTGGGATTTTTGGAGCGTTGTTTATTTTGAACTCTTTATATGCCACCTCTTTCTAGGAGCAAGCTAAAAATGAAGAATGCACTCTATCAATGATATTTTAAAACAATAGCCTCTAATTCCTTGTTCATATAATCTATTAAAGTGAGATTAATAAGTAATAACAATATGCAGTAATATAGGGGCTTTAAAAAGACCCCAAAGAATAACAGAACAGAATAACAAAATAGTACAGTTGAAAGGGACCTTGGTGGTCTTCTAGTCCAGGGGTCCCCAGCCCCTGGTTTATGGACCGATACCAGGTATGTCAGCAACTGGGCCGCACAAACAAAGCCCCATCCGTGGGATGCAAGCAACATACAAAATCACGCCTCCTCTGATTCACAGAAAAACCTCTCTCCACATAACTGGTCCATGGTGCCCCAAAGTTGGGGATCTCTTTTCTAGTCCAATTCTCTGCTCAGGCAAGAAACCATATACTATTTTAGACAAATGGTTGTCCAATCTCTTCTTAAAAACTTCCAGTGTTGGAGCATTCCCAACTTCTAGAGGCTAACAATGCATTTTAGGGAGTCAAGATTTTTATTCATTGTCAAGCAAACAAACATTGGTACTTGATAAGTCACTGTTATGCTTGGAGTATGTTGGAATAAGTAAAATGTGATCTTTAAAGCATCCATATCCCAATCTTTTTTTAGATCATAATAGTTAACATCATAATCTTGTGTATCATCTACAACTGTTTTGCTTTATTCCAATTAGTTGATATTGTAATGGTTTTGTTCTGTCGTATATTGTTGTAAAAGTCTATGAATCAATTATGATTTATCAGGATATACATATATATAACCAAAGCTGGGGAAAAGCAAATTGGGTGATTAACACAAGGTTCAAGCATATAGATGGCTGACCAAATTTGGCCAAATACTGAATAAGCTAATTTACCTGAAGAGTTGGCCTTCCCTCTTGTTACCTGGAACTAACAATGGGTGTGAAAGCATGTAAGGAGGAGATCCAACCAGGAAATAAAGAAGAATTTCCTGGCACTGAGAACTATTAAGCAATGGAATGGCTTACCTCCCAGAATTGTGAGTGTTCCATCGCTGGAAGTTTTCAAGAAATAATAGGAAAACCATTTGTCCAAGATAGCATTTGGGCAGGGGGTTGGACAAGAAGACCGCCACGGTCCCATTCAGCCTTATGATCCTATGATTGGCAACCAGAACCGTCTCCTATAAGAAAGAGCCAGGAGGGAAATAGTGTAAATAGAAACACAGTAGATATATTTGGATGGGAGAGGGAGTAATTCAGATTTAAAAATCAAAGGATAAGATTTTTCCCCCTTGACACACTCCAACAAATGGTACTCCTATGAAGAGAAAAAATAACTACTGTGTAGTACATCCATATGACTCAACCTGTGGACATATGAATGAAAAACAAACCCCCACAGCTGTTGGTTCTAAATTTAAACCAAAGAATCTGCCCAGGACTGGCCCTAGTCTAATAGTAGAGTTACAGCAAAACTACCAGGAAAGCTGCTGGAATCAGAATTTGAAAGGATTATTTAAAAATAAGGACTTTTTCAAGTTATGTTTCTTCAGTTCTTCACAGTAAGTATTGGCTTGATGCTCTCCAAAAGAAAAATAATTGGGTACACATTTTACTGTAATGTGTGCCAAAACTGCACTGGAATCTGGAACATTCAGCTTTTGAAAATAGTGTATATATGTGTGTGAGAAAGAAATTTATCAAAGAATTTGAAGGTGAATTATGTAGGTTAATTTGTCAGACCCTCTTTTTGGCAACAAATATAGTCATAAGAATAGAAGCTATTAATAAGATTTTACATCATCCCCCAGGAATTTTTGCTGGTGCTAATATTACCCCACCTGAATGTGCCATCTAGAGGAGCTATCACTGTATTTGTGGGAGAGAGAAGGAAAATTTGTGGCTAACCATTCAAAATACTTATAGTGTATAATATACTAAATAGGGTCTGTGTGTTTTGTGTATGAAAGTGCAAAAACAATATGTGACCTTTTCATTATGTTTCTGAGTTTTAGTTAACTATAATTTAAAGTCAGAAACATATAAAAATAGGATGGCATCCAGAGATTATGTTGGCCAGGAAAATGGTACAGATATGATAGTAATGTGACTGAATCTGAATTTTGATTTAATTTTGCACATATTGTATTGTGTGTGTGAGTTTGTGAGTTGCAGAAAAAGAAACCTGGCAATTAGCTACAGCCTGTGGACCCTGAGTTGCTCATCCTACTGTTCTCTAACATTAATGAATTGATTGTGACAGTAGCCTTATTACAATTATTTACGCTTTAACTATGCTTACGTCATCTCTCTTGTATTTATCACAGCATGCAAAAGTTGAAAACCAAATTATTTCTTGAGACATGGCTCTTCAACTTTTCTGATTTCTGCTTTTATTAGTTATGTTTTTAGGCAGAATAATTGCAGGTCAGGTTTGTCACAGAACAGCCAAAATGAAAGTCCTAGAAAAAGCTAGTCGACAATGTTGATGAACAGACAATTAAAAATAATTACAATTAAAGGCAAATGTAATGAATGATTCAAAAAGAAATTCAATGTTTAATATAAAACTATTCCAAAATGAATGCTTACGTGAGCATTTAGGACAGCATTCACCAGTAATTCTCTATTCTAATAATGTATGGTGCTGCTTCATTTCTAAAACAAAGGTTAAAACAATGAACCTCTAGTAGATTTCCTTCTTTTCCGTTGTGCAAGAAGTAAATTACTGAACTACGGGAGATAACAGCTTTGCATATGTTCACGGGAACACTTTTTGCTTATTTCAGAACTGAACCTTTTAGGACTAGGACTAAAATATAATTGATTGAAATCTTTGGTTTAGTAGTCAGCATGTTCAGAATGGTCTGTGCCTGTCATTTTATTGCAGCCTCCGTCTTTTGGAAGAATCTGTTTCCTTTTTCTTGTTTAGTTCTTTGTCTCCTTTGAAATGCTGCTTTGTTGAAAGAGGATCTCAGTGAGTCATGCATATCCTTCAAAATAAAAATGCAGTTATTTTAGCCCTACGGAAAAAATACAAATCCTATATTAGGGCAATGCCATTAATAGAGAAGTTTACAGAAATGTACAAAGTTTTGGGATCCCATCAGTGAACAACATAGTACAAAAATCAGATGGGGAAGCAAGAAAGGCAGAGTTGTGACATGATAATAAGCCACGAGGTCTGCAGCAAAGTCAGTCCCAAAATGTAATCCTTTCCTCACTTGTACCTAACTACCATGTGAACATCTTTATTCTGCCATGTCCCCAGGATTTGCCTCTGTCTTGTTCTTAGCCTGCATCTTTGGTCATTCTAGTTTTAGAGTAGCATTTTCTTCTTAATTTTCAAATCAGGTACAACCTGACATGTTTTGCTGACTCAGTACAGCCAGACTACCTTTAAGGGGTGGGGGCAGCCCAATGCTGATTGGCTATTTTAGGTTTCTGCAGGGACATCCCATCCCCTGAGCTTCCACTCTCCTCTGCTGCCATTTTATTTTATTTTTATCTGAGTAAAAGAAATTGGCCATAGTTGCTGACTGAGTACAGGTTGGTGCTTTTTGAACTATCAAAATAAGTCCATTGAACTTGTGTCTGTTGGGCTGGCAAAGGTACTTGATAATGCAGGAGATTCACTTCCGATATACTTAGTTATTAGTCACTTACTTCAGTCTGTCAATTGATGAGTTGTGGTGGGTGGATGAGTGAATGGGTGGGCTTCCCATATGTTGTAAGACCTTCCTGTTCTGCTTTACCTGTCTGTCAGGAATACTTTTATATTTCATCAAAAAATTTAAAATACAAACCAATCTTTCTCAACTTGGTGCTCTGCAGATTATAACTACAACAGTTCTAGAAGCTTCAATCCCAACACATTTGTACTACCATTGAATGCATTGATTCCTCCTTCCTTGTTTCTAATGTTCATAATCAAAAGAGCTGAAGACTGTTCATAAAATGCAAATTGACTTACATTATACTATGATATCAATTCCACCAATTATCCTGATTGCTTTGGAAACAACAAACTTTATTATTTGGGGGTGAAGTCCAACTCAAAGTTTAATTGTACCATTTTTATGTAGTGATTAAAGCATCCAACTAGAAACCAGAAGACCATGAGTTGTAGTCCCACATCAACATGAAATCAGCTGGGTAACTTTCAGCCAGTCTCTTCTTGGAGTCCTAGAAACAAGGCAATGGCAAGTCCCTTTCAAAAAAAGCTTCCTTGCCCAGTGATTAGAAATTAAAAAATGATTAAATGGGACAATTAATTTATTTGAAGGTTGCTGAAGAGAGATCTGTAAAATGGAAGTTTGATTATACCTGGATAGAATTCCCTAGTAAAGTGCTTCAGTATGGGAGAAAGAAAACAAATGCAAGATATCCCCTTGCCTGATCCTAATCGTGTTTTGTGGATATATATTCCATTGATTTCAGTAGCTTGAGAATTGCCCTCCTGATGTCTAGGATTTTGACCTGTTATTTTGACAGACAAACACAGAGCCACCCAAAGTGAAAAGGGAGGAATCCAAAAGTCGAAGTGCTTTGTTACATGAGATCCAAAGAGGAACTCGATTGAGAAGAGTAACCCAGATCAGTGATCGCAGTGCTCCGCAGATTGACAGTAAGTCTTCTGTTTATGGACATGCTCCAATGGCCGCTCAATCATTTTTATATTAAAAGCCTTTTCTTGCTTGGCAGAGACCTTTGTTTTTTCCTTGATTGCAAAACTGTTTCAATGACTCACTTTCATTTTTCTGATGAAAATTTCTTATATTGGCCCGATTATTTGAAGACTGCTAATAAATCTTATCAAGCTAACATTTTTCTTCAATATTCTGAACTTCTTATTAATTAGAAGAGTAATTTTCATGTCTTCCAATTTACCCCATATACTGTATTTTGGATCCATTCTTAAATCCATTCTTAATTCCTTCTCGTCCCATTTATGACTAATTCTTGCACTTTTCCTGTACAAGTGACACATTTTTTCAAGCCTTTCTTTTTTCAACCATTCTGAACACTTGTTAGTTATTCACTTATAGCTTTCACAAGGGAAGTAGACTGACAGTTTCCTATGTAAAAAAAATCAAAAAAATGTTTCCCCATTTAATTGAATTCCTTCCAGCCAAAATAAGTAAAGAAAATGATAGCAAGGAATGCCCAAGGTAAAATCTTTAAAATTAACAAGATAAAGAGGAAGCATTGGAAGAAAGAAACAAAAAAGGGAAACATTTTAGTCCTAGCATGTAATGTATTGGTTGAGGTTATAGAAAGTCGGTGGTAATACCTTCCTGTTTTAAAGAACAATGTATTTTTGTCTTAATATATGAAGCAGAAAGTCCTGCTCTTTATTATGTCACAGAGATTTCACATCATAAATAAGCCATAATAGAGTTTGTTCAGCTATATATTTAGCATTTAGTTATGTATTGAAAGCATGTAGTAATATTTTTGGCTTAGTGTTCTATTCTTGCTTATTGGCTGAATCCTGCCAGTTATAGTTAATTTGCTTAACCACACTGTATTGTATATACATAGCGATTAGCTTCTGCTCATTTTATGCCGAAAGAAAGATAGCAGAAAAACCAAAAGCTGAAAATAATACCCTTCTTCTCCTTCTTTGCAGTTGACAGAAGAAGGCCCAGCAAAGATGGAGGAAGCTCTGGAAACTGTAGCAGTGAAATACCTCAGGCATTAGGAAACCTTTTTGCAGAAGGCTTTCCTGTTCTGAGACCAGTGGGCCAAAGAGACTTAGCAGGTAAAAGAATCCAGTTTGCAATGGAGTCTCAAAAACAACAACAACAGACTATTACAAAATAGCACATGCTAATTTGTACTTTTGCATATAAAATTAATATTCAAAACAGAACTAAAGATTTGGAGCGCAAATAAGAGCTGATCTCTTTTAGCGTGTTACCTATACTTATAGAAACTTCATTTGGATCCTGTGAATTGCATAAAATAGAAAATCACTTTGCTATTTATTATCTGAGCACAAATTGGTTATTGCATTTATGTTTGCATTAACCACAAACATGCATATTCTGCACATTATTTGCAATATATTTTCTCTTATTTCATTATATTATTGTTTTTTGTCATCATTTCTGCCTTGTACAATAAATTAACTCACAAAACCTCAAGGCCTTTGAACAATGTAATTGTTTCAAAATCTAGTCAGTATAATCAAGCCAGTTAATAATCATGTTGCTATGATTCATGGTAGCTGTTATTCCTGGATAGTTTTCTATGACAGCCAAGGGTAATGCAACTTAAAATAATAATAGTGATCAGGACCTTATCTCGGTTTTATGAACATTGTTTGTCAGTCAGATAGAGAAATCAAGGTTAAACTATAAAATCAAGCAAGTAAGAAATATGAGAAAAACAGATTTCAGGCATAATAAGTTAATAAACTACAGTGCTGTGTGGAAGGACAGTTGTTCCTGAATCCACCAGAGTGTAACTGTTGCCTGGAAACATTCATCTCACTTCTGTATAGTGTAACTGAGATGTGCAGGAACAATCCGTCCTTTCTATGGAACTATTTTAGTTTGTTTTTCAGCTGGCAACAAAATCAAGCAAAATTTAGGTCCTTCAATTCTGTTTCCTGGAATAATAGAATTGCTGGATCTGTAATCTCTGAAAACAAATTGGCAGGATTGGAACTGCTAATTGATAGCAGGTTAACCAATTTAAGAACTTGAGTTAGAAAAAATCTTCATGTTTTCTTCATTTGAATCTAATAATCTAGATGAATTATTTGGATTTAGTTACAATTAGAATAATTTAGATTATTCAAAGGATGAATTGTTGAATGCAGTTTTCAAAATTAAAGATGATTTGTTTGCATTTGCTTCATTTTCTTAGTGAATAGAACTGGAAAGTCACCTACTGCCAAAACATCTCCCCCGAAGGTTCCAGTCCCACTCAACAATAATGGGAAGTCCAATGGCAACTTTCAAATCTCCCCAAGTGGCCCTAAGCAAGCAGATGAATCAGAAGCATCCAAGATCCAGAGCGCTATGCCAGCTCACCCCAGCATCCCTGTTCCTCCTGCTCCTACTTCAGTTCCATCTCCTCCTCCTCCTCCTCCTCCACCACCACCACCACCACCACCGCCATTATCATCTCCCTCCAGAAAACCATCACTTATCTTTCCTCCTCCTCCCCCTCTACCACCTCCTTTTTCTGAACATCCTAACAAGTTCCCTTCCCCAGACATTGCTGCTGCTGCTGCATCCTCTCAGAATAGAACTCCTAAAGGTCACCTCTCCCCGTTGAACATACCACCTCCTCCACCATTACCTTTGTCTCCATCATCCCCCTCTGGGCCTTCAGGCAAAATTAATGAATGTTCCAGCCCAAGCTCCTCCCAGCTCGATCTAAGACATAATTCTCCCCCCATGCCACCACCCCTACCTCCTCTCCCAGGACCTTCTATGTCTACTTTTTCTTCACCGAGAACATCAATGTTTTCACCAACATCACCAACCTGTAACAGTGATTCTGCTTCCCTGTTGCCTCCCAAAAACAAGTTGCAAAAGCTCCCCATTCCATCAATGCCTCTTCCCCCTTCCCTCCCAAGCACACAGCAAGCTCCTGCAATGCAGAAAAGGAGACAAGGAAGAGGTGGAGGTAACTACTTTCAGTGGCATCCCTACTGGATTACATCCTGTGGAATTAACTTGCAGTGGGTATGGATGACCTTTCTACATACACTTAGGAGCTGAAGCTGGTTGTACATTGTACAACCCAGAAATTGCTTTAGAATGTAACTATAATCTCTCTCCCCCCTCATATTCTGAGGATGTATAGGTTACACGTATATATGTTTTGTTTGAACCTTTTTGGAACAAGAATGGAATGAAAATATTTGATGCACTGTTTTCTTTTTTTATATATGTTTATTCTTCTTAGCAAAGTTGATGCCACCACCTGTTCCTCCTGCAAGGTCTCCCACAACTGAGCTCACAAGCAAATATCAACACACCCAAGTATCTCCATGGCCGCCAGCTACTCAGGACTCAGGTATTATGGATAACACTATATCATTTATTGTTGACAAGTATTGTATATACAGAAAATGTAGAACTTTTCTTATCACAAGGTTACAGTCTTAATAATCTTTTTAAAACTAGTGCCTGCTTAGGAATGGCAATGCAAACTGTTAAAGAAAGTCAGTATACACTCATCCCTTGTTTAGTGACTAAGTTGTTCCAACTACCAAGTTGTTAAGCAAAATGGTCTCTAAATGAACACATAGTGAGACAGAGAAAGATGCTACAAAGATCATTGGTTCCTACTGCCTGATTCAGTCAAATTTTTTTGTAGAGCTACGCCAGCATTATTCTTACTCTGACATGCATTGTCAGGCAAACAACCTTTAGTTGTAAAGGCAAACTTTGGTCAGAAAATGAAATGTTTAATTACTATTATATTTGTGAATGGTCAGGAGCTGAAATAGTTGCTAAGTGAGGAACAGATGCATTTGAGTATGTCAATTTGAACTTTTTGGGAGACAAATGGACATTTGTACAGTAATATTAAAGGCAGAGACATTAATAATTAGCAAAATAGGGAAAAAGTCCAGGATCAATTATTATAATTATTTATAAGAAAACACTGACAAACAATTTCAGTATTTTTGCTAAGAAAACTACTTGAATATTTTACTAGACTGATCTGTCATAGGATTTAAACTTTCAAAATGAAACAGTAAGATACAAAAGAGAGGATTGTGACAGAGTGCTGTAATTCTAATATATCTTCAGAATTGATGGAAATAGATGGGGCTAAACAAGGAGCTTTAAGCAAAGTATATGGAATTTAAAAATATGATGAAATGATGCATTTGAATTGAAAATATGCTGGATGGATTATTTTATTGTGCTTCTGCATAACATTCCATGATGATATATATGTAGTACATATTTGTTATTTTGCTTATTATAATTCAACATGATTTTTTTAAAAAAATTAAACTCTTTCTAGATGACTTTGAATCTAAATTTACTTTCCATTCCATGGAAGACTTTCCTCCTCCAGAGGAGTTCAAGCCTTGTAAGAAAATTTATCCTAGCCAAGAAGCAAGGAGTAAGTCAACATTTCTATCTCAGTGTGATATGAAATGATTTCCTAATAGGGGGTATTATTTATCTTGGCCATCTAGTTATGAGAGATTCTAGGCATTGAATAGTGTTGCCACTGTAGAGAAATGTCTACTGATTAAATAGCCCCATTTTCAAAAACATCACAGGAACCCCCATTGGTACCCATAATTTGTGTTTTATATAGTGTCCATGTGTCCCTGTGTCATAGCTTTTGTATAAATCATTAAGATTATACCATGGACCCCCTTATTCTCTCCCATCTTGAGAACAATCTCCAAGCCACTGAAATTTGTTTTTGTTGTTTTTGACAATTTAATTGCCTTCAAATACAGCACATCTCTAAGAATGATAGTCTCCATGCCTATTATCTATAAGCCTTGCCCAGCACTATTTATGTTTCATTGTCTCATCCACATGAGACATCAGTTGGCTGGGGAATTCTGGGAGTTGAAGTCCATATATCTTAAAGTTGCTCAGGCTGAGAGACATTATTTTAGATTGATTTCTTTACCTTGGATTCAAAACTGGTTTCAGTATATGGCATAGAGTGACCAAGGGATAGAAATCTGAGGACAGGTGATAGATGCACTCAGATAATGATAGACACAGCCAGTCACAAATAATCATTACCAGGAGGTGAATTATTATTAGAACAATTATATACATACATGTCATTTTATTATATTTTACATATGTGTATGTACATAATTACTCAGCCAGATTGATGTACTGGTTAGTAGATTAGAAACCAGAAGATTGTGATATTTAATTAAGTAAAAGCTAGCTGGGTGACCTTGGGCCAGTCATTTTCTCTTAAGGAGGCAACAGCAAACTACTTCTGAAAAATCTTGCCAAAAAAACTTGAGGGGATTTTCCAAGCAATCATTAGCAATCAACCTGACCAAGAAGGAAACATACATACATATATGTAATTGTTCTAATTAATACTATAATTGTTTTACTAACATATTCATTTAAAGGTGAAAACGTTGAATAATGTAAATGAACCTTTGTGTACCCAACTAATCTCAGCAAGAGTCTGCCACGATCCAAAGGCATTACTGCATGTAATGGTGCTAGAAACTGATAGCTTTTGAAACATGCTAGTTTTGATTTATTTTTTTCACTTCTTAAAATAGTATAAGCATTTTTAAAATAGTTTTCTAGAAATAAATATTTTAAGAAATGACAAGAGGAGGTGAAAAAACTTGTGGACTTTGCGGGATTATCAGTGTAAGTACAGTGGAGTCCATGGTGCCCTGTTGCCTTTCAACTACTACTGTAGGTTAGATGTTCTGAGTAAGCCATATCCTTTGTGCAGGTTGCTAATTTTGGTTGGGTAAAAAACATACAACCATTGATTGACATACAATCATTAATTTAGTAACTTCATTTAGAAGTTGCAACGGCACTAAAAAAATGACTTATGACTGTTTTTCACATGATCGTTGCAGCATCCGCATTATCATGTGATCAAAATTCGGGCTCTTAGCAATTGTATTTATGATCATATGATTGCTGTTTGTAACCTTCCCAGCCCTCTTCCAACAAGCAAAGTCAATGAGGGAAGCTGCATTTACTTAATGACTGCATTCACTTAACAATTAGGGTGATTTGCTTAATAACAGAGGCAAAAACAGTTGTAAAATGGGGCTAAATTCACTTAACCGCCTTGCTTAGTAATGGAAATTTTGGGCTCAGTTATGGTTGTACGTCAAGGATTACTGCTATCTTAAGTCCCATGTCAAATAAGCATCTCTTAATTCTCTAAATATATTAAGTTGCTGTGATTTTAGAATCGTGTGTACAAACTACAGATATGTGTCTACACATGTATCTTGCTGGATTCAAAGGTATGAGAGTTTTCAACTGACATATGTGGTTTATAAAATTGGCTTGATGGCTCTCTCAGATTTATAGCTTCAACCTCTTGATAATTGAAGAAAGAAATTGATAATTATAGTGTCATGGAAAATACCTTTTTCTTTTTACAGATAAAGCAAGCAATCCCCCTTTACGAACACAAGCGAGATGAGAAAATCAACGATTCAGGGTTATTCCAAAAAATCAGGAGTTCAACAATTGCAGTGTAAAATGTAGGGCATATTTTTGTTAGTGTTGTGATATGTTCAGGCAGATATGGCACTTAAAAGACTGCTGGATGTAGATGGGCCAGGATGAGAGTGCATGTTCAGTTATAAAAAGTTGCAGAATAATGTATTTTTATTTAAATTTTTTTAAAGCTGGCCTGAATTTTATTTTTAAATGCTATGGAATATTGTAATTTACATAGCTTTTCATTCTTATATGGTATATTTTGGTAAAGTGAAATTGTTTGCCTGTACTGTACACAGTTCGGTTGCCGATGGAGTTTCTGTTGTAATTAATTCAAGATTTCCAAATTTGATTTACTGTATTTACATGATATAATATATAAATTCCTGGCAAGTATTTTCTTTTGTTTCCTTTTTCAGTAGTACAGATGTATAGATACCCAAAAGAATGTCACATACAGACACAAATGAGCATGAAAAATGCAAACAAACATTTTCCATTAGCTTCTTCTAAAACCCATCAGCCTAAAGACAGAAAATGTTACACATAGTCCTCAACTTGGAGCCACAATAGGGATTGGAAAAATGTCATTAAGCAGTCAGGTTGTTAAGTGAGGCATCATATGACTATAATCAATTTTATAACCTTTTTTTGCCACATCATTAAGCAAATCACTTGCAATCCTTGAGCAAAATATCACGTGACTATGACCTGGAACTTTCTTCTGGTTTCCCCATTGACTTTGGTGTCAGAAGCTTCTTGGGATTGTAATAAATGATATGACCACAAGTTATTGCAACAGTTGTAAATGTGACACTATTGCCAACTGCCCATATCACAACCACATGACGATGGGGGCACTGCACAGTCACATGACCATGGGGCACTGCATGATCATAAGTGCAAGGACTGTTTTTTTCAGCGCCATTCTAATATTCAATGGTGGCTAGACATTAAGTGAGAACTAGTTGTATTAACAAGCCCTCTATCATGATTCCGACAGAGACAAATTAAAGCAGAACTCTGAGGCTTGGAAAAGGTCCACTAAGGCTGTAGCTCCTTCCTGCGGTACCAGTTTCCCAGGTTGGATCAACCTGTCAGTGAAGCCTCCTCGATGGCTGGAGCACCAGCCTGCGCTCCGACAGCCTGAGTCCTGTTGCCGCCAGCAAAGATGTCATTTTCAAAGTTAACGCCCTCTGGGTGGTCCTATGAAGGCTGGCCCATTTTATGCCTCTACCCATCAGAAGCATTAAAATTGATAGTGCATAAAAACAGAAAAAGATCTAAAATACAAGATCTGCTGTGAATATTTTAACTATAAAAGGCAAGATCCTATATCCCAGGCCATCTTGTTTTTGAATACAAGGCCAAAACATCCCTGCACCACTAGTTGCCTCTACAGAGCAGAGTGGAAAGATTTTTCCCTTCTCTCACTCTGCTTTTGTTGCTGAATCCAACAGAGGCATCTTTCCTGTGAATTAGGTATGAACACACAGCCTACCAGTGGAATGAAAACTTAAACTGGAACATGAAGTAAAGGAATATATCTTGTTAGGAAGCATCTGAACTCTTAACTAGCTACTATATATGTGGGTCCTAAATAACATACTGTATATACTTACATACAACTGGAAAAGGAGTGAGAAGGAACATTTAAGAACCAAACTAATGGCGATCTGGCAAATATATTTTCATGTCTACTTTACTCTTACAGGTAGAACCATAGGACTGTAGTAGCTGTTTCAGCTAGTTTTGTGTGTATATTTTCAGCAGTGGCTCTTCGGGTCCTTAATGTGAGAGCAACTAGAAACTATCTTCACAAAATTGGATAACAACTGTTAATTTTGCTTTTGCAATAAGCTGCAAGATTCTTGAGTTCTAGAATTTATTATCAGAATAAAGAAGGGCAAGAAATTAGAATTTGTCTGCTAAAAGAAAAATGAAAAGATAAGTCAGATCTTATATTTAAAAACAAGATACAGATATGTAGTGTCTAGTCAATGATAGCTCAATTAGAAATGACATATATAGTAGCCATCTTTTTTTTGCACCAAGACCTTTGATTGAGAATTACTGAAACATTTTTGTTTCGGATTGTGATTGTTACCGATTGTGATGACAAAGAGATTATTTTAATGTTAAATTTAATTACTGCGGCTAGGTTGTTAATAGGGCAATATTGGAAGAAGGAATCTTTGCCTACTTTGCAAGAATGGTTTTTTAAAGTTTCTTACTTAGCGGAAATGACAAAAATTTCGGCTTTCTTGAAAGATCAATCGCAAGAGAAGTATCTCTTGGTGTGGAAAAGATGGATAAATTTTATACAATATAAGTATGATATAAGAAAATATTATCTAGCTTTCGAATAATTTATATTTAAAGTTTAAGATATTATCTAGAAGTGTAATTATTATTATTCTTTGTTTTTTTATCTTTCCTTTTTTTTTCCTCTTTCTGTTTTTTATATATAATGGAGTTAAAGTATCTTACAATTTGTTTATTGAGTCTAATTATATTTGCTTAAGGTTTATTTGGGCTTAAAACTTTTTTTCTTTTAAGTTCTAGTTAAGCCTGTATTCAGCCCTGGGAAGAATGGGGGAGGGTTTTGGGGTGGGTTGGGAGGGATTGGGGAAGGGGTTTTTATTGTAAAATCTTAAAAAAATTTAATAAAAAAAAAGAGAATTACTGAAACATTTTAAAAAAAACCAGACTGTATCCTAAATTAATTTTAAATTGAGTGGAAGAGAGATGAAATAAATAAGCTTATGACTATGACATAATATAACGTGACTCAGTAACTTCTAGAAAATAACTAATTTTACATTTTTTCCACATTTTTATTCCTTACTGGAAAAAAAGAACATCTCTAATACATTTCAGAAAATAATATTAAAGTATTCAATTCCCAAAAATTCTTTATGCAGAAATAATTTATTAATTTGGTCAATCGTAAATGTCTTTATATATATATATATATATATATATATATATATATATATATATATATATATATATATATATATATATATCCCAAGTGACATCAAACGCCAGATTGCAACCTCCTACAAGAAATAACTAAAAATATACTAATTTTGCTTCAATCAAGTATTTTACATTCCAACAAATCTTCAGGGAGAGAGCTTGGCCCAATTTTGTAGAATATCTGGAACATTTGGAGTTTTTCAAAAAATGTCCACAAATCAGAGTGTATTTATATTATGGATTTTCCCTTTTCCTCAAAATTTGAGCTGTCTTTTGATGCCATTATTCTTTGAAATTGGACTTTTAAGCCCTAAAATAGTAACTATTTGCTGTCCATATAAGATAAATTGCTTTATCTTAAGGAAAATCTGTAGAATTCCATAATGACAAGATGCATTGGAAGAACTAGAAAAAAGTCTGGCCCTTGAAAATTAATTCCTTGTGCCAGTGGAAAAATACTTTCCTTAGTTTCCTGTATGATTTTTAAAACTATTATTTACCTCATGAATCTGTGTCATTCCTGACATCTGTTTTATGAGTGTCCCACATTAAGAACACTATAAACAGCATTTGTGACCTGAGCACAATAGTTTAGTTGGAAGTTGATAATTTGAAATGTCTATAACATCAGAATCCTGATGTTTTGAATTATATGATTAGTACCATAGTTTTGAGATTAGACTCTGATTGCCTGTCATTGCCCGATGGCTTCACCAGCACATCACTTTCTTACATACATCCGTGTTTTCATTAAGAAGTCAATGGTAGGAAGAATGACTTGCTGATGACCAAGATAAACCTGATTATTTAAGAATGTCCATTATTTAATAATGGATGCATGGACAATAAGCAAATTAAATAAGGATAATGGATTCAGGATACAAAAACCTGGAGTAAAATAACACTTGCAATCACTTTAAGAAAGCAACTCTAATTTTATAGTATTGGCGAACATGAGCATTTGGGGATGTGGGGGGAAATATGCATCATAACCCAAAAAGTAAGTGTCAGACAATGAGATGCAAGCACATGAGTTAGTTATGCCATTACCACAGATGCCATTTTAACTCAATCTTGATTTGCTGCAAATACTTATATCTATGAATCTGTCTAATTTTCTCATAAAACAAATATGTTGATCTCATTAACTAACTGAACCCTGTCAATCAGTGTGCAAATTTAACCTTGCTTATTTGAGACTATCTTAATATACATAATTATATAACAATGATAATCATTGTTGACTGGATTAGATCCTGTCCTACTATTTAAGTAGCTATAAATGACTGCTGCTATTTGGCAAAGTAGTAACAAATTTACTAGCTGCCTAAAGCAAAGATGATAGATCAGTGGTGGCGAACCTATGGCACTAGTGCCAGAGGCGGCACTTGGAGCCCTCTCTGTAGGCACGCACACTGTCGCCCCAGCCCCACCTCCCCCCACAGCCCACTCCTCACCAGCAGCCCCCCTGGAGGAGAGTCACCCCCGGGTGTGGCCCATACGGAGCAGTGCAGCCAAGCACATGGCAGCTGGGCAGCACATGATGCTAGGGGGCACGGGCAGAGGGTGTGGCTACCGTGGCACTGCAGGGCTACCTGGGCGATCTGTAGCAGGCCGTGGATGGCCCTGAAGGCAGGCGGGGTGAGGGCAGAGCAGGGCGGGGAAGGCGGGTGCAGCAGGGCTGGGCCGGGGGTGGGGCAGTTTTTGGGCACTCGGTCTCTAAAAGGCTCGCCATCACTGTGATAGATGATATCCTTGCATTCTACCTCACCTTCCCAACAACTTTCCAATAATATTGGGAACATTCTAAACCAAACTTTTGGAAAAATGTTTCAAATGCAGCACAATGAAATATAAAATAATGTGAAATAGAGAACTTGGTGGTCTATTTCTCTAAGGTTTGTGTAAATTGATTTCATTCTCATTCAAATTAGCATCAGTGAGAAGGTATTCCATTGCTGAAAGTTATGCCCTTTATAATGGAATTTTCTTTTTTAATGTTTTCACTTTTTCCTTTCAAAAATATCATTTAGATTTTAGAAGTTATAAAGTGGACCATCTTTCCTTTGAAAGTGGATCAATATTTTGAAGGGGATTTCTCAAAAGATTCTGCTTAATTTGAAAACGACATTGAGACCTCTATGGTCTTTCCTAAAATTATTTATTTCTAAAGTTTTGTTGCTAAAATAAAACAAAAATTCCAAAATGACACTGGCCAGCATGCATCTACTAACTGAATCAGTCAGCAAAATCTCTTTTAACAATATGCACAAGACAACACACAATGAAAGAGGATGTTAACTGGATAGAGCTACTGAGGAAAGTTTCTCTAGAAAGACGAATACTTGCTCCCAAATTCGGCAATATGGTGAGATTATCTTTCAAGGCTTGAAGAGTTCTATGTTCCTGTGCAAAGGTTAACAGTGTCTATGGGCACTGAAATGAAAAAAATAAAAATATAGCCTTAGTTTACAAATTACAAATGCCATGCCAAAATGCAGCAGAAATATGTACATATAGCAAAATAACCACAATGTATTGAAGGTTGGCTTCTTATTCTTATATGTGCCAAAAATTGCTTTGAAGTGAACACAGATTCAGGAGAATGTGAACAAGAATGTGAACATCTAAGTTAACTTTTTTACTTTTAAAAGAACATTTGCTGAAATAGGAATGTGGGGAAAAACATGAATATGACTCACTTCATTTGAAGAATTTAATTTCTGTATCTACACAGTCATAAAAAAGGTCTTCTATTTCCGAAGAATCAAGAATTTCAGAGCTAGAGAGTATGCCTTCCATTGCTTCCAACCCCTGTTTTTCAAGGTTTAACATTATTCTCCTTAATGTATGACCTTTTTCCTAAGGAATGCAAAGGCCAATAGGAAATTCTGATTAAAAGGATTTAACCTGTTATCTTGTACAAATGTTTACAAATGCATCAATGTAAAAAATTCTCAGGAAAGTAAAAAGGACTGAAATTTCTGTGCATTAGCCATACATATAATAAAACGTAATAACAAATTATAATCCAGACTTTCCTAACTTGCTTCTGCAACATTCAGAATTATTAAAAAGTGTTAAGAACTTCAACTCCTAGAATTCTGTGTCAAAATTCTGAAAGTTGCTAACTAAGCACATTTGGAAGATGACAAATTGGAGAAGATTGGAACATACAGCAAGAAATATACTTCAATCAGAATACAGCTGGAAGGGACCTTGGAGGTCTTCTAGTCCAACCCCTTGCTCTAGCAGGAGGCTCTATACCATTTCAGACAAGTGGCTGTCCAGTATTTTCTTAAGAACCTCCAGTGATGAAGCACCCACAATGTCTGAAGGCAAGCTGTTCCACTGATTAATTGTTCTCACTATTAAGAAGTTTCTCCTTAATTCCAAGTTGCTTCTCTCGATTAGTTTCCGTCCATTGTTTCCTGTCTTGCCTTCTGGTGCTTTGGAGAATAAGTTGACCCCATCATCTTTGTGGCAACCCCTCAAAGATTGGAATACTGCTATCACGTCACCATTTCTTCTTTTCTAGACTATCCATACTCAATTCCTGCAACTGTTCTTATTTTAAGCTCCAGGTCTTTAATTATCTTAGTCGCTTTTCTCTGAACTTTTGTAAAATCTCAACATCTTTTTTGTAACGTGGTGACCAAAACTGGATGCAGTATTCCAGCTGTGGTGTTATTAAGGATTTATAAAGCAAAATCATACCTAACATGATTTTGATTCTATGCCTCTATTTATACACCCAAGGATTGTATTAGCTTTTTTGGCTGCTGTTGCACCCTGCTGGCTCATATTTAATTAATTACAAAAACACTTTCCTATGATGGGAGTTCCCCTAGAAATTTTTTTCCAGTTATTTCTCTAAATTTTTTCACTACAATTAGGATAGAAAAAAGCAAGCATCTTGCTTTGAAAAACTTCCAAATTCCTCTTACCATTAGCATGAATTGTCCTTTAATTGATAATACTTCTAATTATAAAAGGAAAAATTTAGTGGCATCTTCGGGAGAACAATTATAGTATTAACTTTTTTGACAAAACCGCTATTCACTCACTCATTCAGTTTCTTATAGCTGCTCATGGGCTATAGTACACATGTTCCTTTAAAAAAAAAGTAGCTGAAGATACAACTGTTAAGTATTTTAAATATAAATAGAGACATAAAAAAAGATTTGCTTACTGATGGTAATTGGGACTGGGATATCTGTAAGACATAATGCCACATCACTGTGCCAACTTACAACAGCAGTTTCAGCAGCCTCAGTTGCCATCATTAAGTAACATGTAGTCTCAGCATCCCATGAGCACAGAAATGCCCACTTCCTTGTTGGCTTTGTTTGTCAGAAGTTGGCAATGAAAATTGCAAATATTGATCACGTGCTTGCAGGGTACTGCACTATTGTAACAGTGAGCCAGTTGCCAAGGATTCGAATTGTGATCATGTGACTGTGGGGATGCTGCAGCAGCTGCCACTACGAGAACCTATTGTAAATATCCTTGTTCAGCACTATTGTACTATCACTAAACAAGTAGATATTAAGTGAGGACTATCTGCAGTGCTACATTGGGTATGCATGCTGGAAAAAAGCAGTTGAAGATAATGTTAAGTAATTCACCTAACTGTATAAAGATACAGTAATTATAGCAGATAACATTCAGGTTTTAACTATGTGTTACTTTTCTCCCATTACACCGTATGTCTCTTTCTGATTATAAAAACATCAACATATATAATATAAAATTAAGCTATCCTATAAATATGCAAAAGAGCAATCAGCAATAAAGGGAGCACAACCTTAATGTATTTTCTACAAGTATAAAAGAACTGCTTTTAAAATGCAAACCTGGAGTACTGAATAATTCAGTCTATCAGTTTAATAACAATATTCTAAAATCCAATTGGAAGCCTTACCTCATCACTGTCTAAGACTAATCGGGCCTGCTGTTGTGCCTTGTATAGTTCGTGTCTGCGATCAGGTTTCTCCTGAAACCGAGGAATTTTTTTCACAGGATCTTCACTACCAAAAATGGGTGATTGAACTTTAGGTACTATTTTCACACCATCCACAAAGATAAAAGGTTTAAATATGGACCTAAAAAAAAGGTTACATGAATGACCAACTAAGTAATTATAGTTACAGATTACATTGTCACCTAGCAGTTTATTTTCATACAAAGAAAAACAACCTGCCCAAAATCTGAACATACCGATTACATTAAAGAATAGGGTAAATATATGCAACACTTTCAACAAACTGTATTTACTTTTGCTAATAATTATATTAAAACTCAAATAATCATGTTAGGGCATTTTTACTGCCACTGATCAATCTTCTAATTGGGCTGCTTTATCGCACCGTTCTGATCAAATTAATAGCCACTTTATGCCACATAAAATATCCCTTCAAGTATATAGGCTTTTATCATTGCAGTTTTCTGTATGGAGCTGTTCGTATCAACTGGAATAGACACTGTGTTGCTTTTAGGAATTGTCTGCAGTGCCCTTTTGCTGCTTCTGATCCTTCTTATCTCGGAACATCCTGTGATTAGAACTAGGTAATATCAGGAATTCACAAAGCTTTTTGTTCAAATTTTATTGCATCTAAAAATACATTTAATATCATTTCCAGTTAAAATAATTTTTTGATGTCTTAAATACAAAATGTTTGCAGGTAATGGACAAACTACAATGCTGGAGCCACAATGATATTCCTTGATGCATTACAAAGGTTAAAGGTTTCCCCTGTCATGACTAGTTCAAGGGGCTGGTGCTCATCTCTGATTCTCAGCTGAAGGAACCTGCATTGTCTAAGACAGAGCTTTTCAACTTTTTCACCCATTGTACCACTTTTAGGATATAGCAACATTCGAGTACCACCAGTCGCTTAGCAAGGTATCAAAAACTTGATGGCCACCCCCCCAAAAAAGGAAAAAAGTGATAAAGTACAGGTAGTCCTCGACTTACAACAGTTCTTTTAGTGACTGTTCGAAGTTACAATGGCACTGAAAAAAGTGCCCCTCAAGCCACAGCCCAGCAAGACATCTGCCTGCCTGCCTGGCCGCGCTCTTCCTCCTGTCCGAGGTTTTCATTGTTGTGAGCATTTCTGCTGAGAATTGGCAGCGGGGCTGGGGTGGGGGGAGTGTTTGGTTTTTATTCCCCCATCCGCTGGGTGGTTGCAGCAGGTTTTGGTCACTTCACATGGGACCCTGGGACACTGACCGTCATAAATATGACCCTGGGACACTGACCGTCATAAATATGAATCAGTTGCCAAGCATCTGAATGTAAATCACAAGACCCTGGAGATGCTGCAACATTCCAGCTGATCAGTGCTTCTTCTGGGCTCCGCAGAAGCACCAAGATCAGTACTGCTTTCCTGCTGATTGGTGCTTCTTCAGGGCTCAGCAGAAGCACCAGGCTCAGCGCCGAGCTCCAGCTGGAGCCTGGCACTGATCCTGGTGCTTCCACTGAGCCCTGACAGCCCTGCAGCTCCAGCCGTCTCTCGCTCAGGCTTGTGCGGTGCTGCCACCGGTTCAGCTCATTCCCCTCCCCCGCTACCACTTTTCTAGGATAGTCACATACCACCTGCCAGGTGCCAATGCACCACAGGTGGTACTCGTACCACAGGTTGAAAAGCCCTGTCTAAGAGACGCTTCTGTCATCATGTGGCCAGCATGAAGTATGAAACGCAGTAACTTTCCCACTGAAGCAGTGCCTATTTATCTATTTGTGTTTGCCTGCTTTCGTAACGCTAAATTACACCTAAACAAAAAGAGTTGTTACCAAAAAAAAAAAACAATATTAATACAGCTCCAATGAAAACTTACCAATATACTGAAAAAGTTACGTCAATTAAAGCTTATTCCCTCCGACCTGTTTCATTAATTTTAAACATTCATAAAACAATTATAGTTTTATATATTTCATTATAAATAGCAGAATATCCAAAGTTATAAGTGCTTTGGTACAGGATAACTATTTACACCATCTATTTTAAAAGGTTTAGACCTTTTTAAAGAATGAGATCTTTTCTTCAGCTTAACATAGTCACTGCTGAATCCCAGAAGGATGCATACAGATAGTCCTTGACTTACAACAGTTCATTTAGTGACATTCAAAGTTACAATGAAAAAAGTGACTTATGACTGTTTTTCACAGTTAACGACTTTTGCAGCATCCCCGTAATCATGTGATTAAAATTTAGATGTGTGGCAACTGATTCATATTTAGGACTGTTGCTGTGTCCCCAGGTGATCACCTTTTGCGACCTTCTGACAAGCAAAGTCTATGGAGAAGCCAGATTCACTTAACAACTGTGTTAGTAATTTATCAACTGCAGTGATTCACTTAACAATTGAGGCAAGAAAGATCATAAAATGGGGCAAAACTCATTTAACATATGTCTCACTTAACAACAGAAATATTTGGCTCACTTGTGGGCATAAGTTGAGGATTACCTGTACTTCAGTTAAGGAGATTCTGATAGTGCCCTGCTCTGAAGCTTCTTTAAGCTTTGGAATAAAAGTGCAGCATAATTTAATGGACGTGTGTATGTTTCCAAAACAACCCCATAAATTTTAAAAATGAAGTTCCAATGCAGTGATTTTACAAGGTGAACAAAGAACTCTGGTAAAAAAAAATAATTAACTGATCTACATACATCTTAGATATATAAGCCCAACATAAATAATGTCCTTTAAAAAGAAAGCAACTGTAAACTTAAACTAAGAGAGCAAATTGTAGAAAATTACTAAGACCGAAGCAGCCTTGATATCCCAGAATCCAAGGCAGGCAATCTACAGGGCAATAGGCTATACAACTGAGGCATTTAAATTGACATAAGGTAGAGCAAATCAGCTATCACAAACTTGGCAATTTGAAGATGTATAGACTTCAACTCCCAGAATTCCCCAGACAGCATGCTGGCTGGAGAATTATGGAAGTTGAAGTCCACACATCTTAAAATTGCCAGGATTGAGCAACACTGAACTAATCTATCTTCCTTTTCCCTTATAAAGCTATTTCTACTCATCTAGATTTAAGGCAGCAGCTGCAAAAATAAGTTCAGTGATTTTTTTTTTAAAAAAAGCCAAAACCTTGAATATTTCTTTACAAGGAATATTCTTTAATTCAAAGAATAATGCATATTTTACCCATCCAAGATGTAAAATTAGTAATTAATTCTTGAGACTCTTAAAAGAATGCTGGTACATCTAACGTACTTGGATGGATCTGGTGTGCCAGTGAAAAAATGAATGCATGGAGAAGTCAGATTCTGAGGTAAGACGGATACCATGCTTGCTGTAGTAAGAAAAGAGTCTGAATCCACAGAGATGCCCTCAGCCTTGTTACGTAATAGGTCAATCATTGTTTCCACAGTGATGTTGCCTGGAAAAAAAAATGGAAATGGTGAAATTAGCAGGGCACGATCATTTTAAGAGGAAAAAAAATCTACTTGATTACAATTCCCTCTTTGCCAATGCATCTGGGTAGTAACAGGTTGAGTGAGGCTTTTTGAATAAAATAGACAAAATGTATTTATAAGATTAAGTAGAATAGATCACAGAAATAAAAGTTGTAGACATATAATAAGAGGTAATACGACCACAGAATAAGAAGTAAATTTATCATTATACTTATAACTGCTGTAAAACTGCTGTAAAGCAGAAACCACTGTAATTTTTTTTCTTTCTTCCCCTTTCTTGAACTTTTAGCTTGCATTTTGATTTTCTTTTCTTACTTAATATTAGTATTAGTTTTTATCTTCCTTTTAAAAATAATTAATATATGGACTTCCGGTGGATCTGCGCGGCGATGGCGGCTACTTTTTAGCCGTCCTCCTGGGTAAGTGTAATGAATCGCTATGCACAGCGTACATCAGCTGTTCAGCGGTTCAAAATCCCCCTCCCGGGCAAAGGGGGGGGAAGAGGGTTGTCTGAATAGTGGTAGAGCCTCTTATGTACCCCCAATTTCTTTTTTTGGGGGGGTGACAGAGTGCTCCCACGGAGTTCAGACTGTCTCCGCTTCCCAGCTGCTTTTGTCCCTAGGGACAAAACAAGCCGTTGCAATCACCTCCGCGCTTAAAGGGACCTGGTGAGTTTTTTTTAGAAGCGGACAGAGTTGATTAGAGGATTTACTTTTTGCTTTCTTTGATTTTATATGTATTTTAAGTTTAAAGGTTTATTTTCATATTTATATTCTCTCCTTTTACTTTTTACTTTGTGCTGAAAGGGAAAGTAAAATGGCGATCGGCAGACTTTCTAGCGTTTTTTTTTCTGGGAAGCTAGAATGGCGATCGGCTTCTTTTACTTTCTCTTTTCTTTTCTTTTTAATGATTGGATGGATCTTAGAAGCATTATTATTTTTGTTGTTTAACTTTTTAAACATTATTGTTTTTGTTTGACTTTTTTGCTTTGTCTTTTGTATTTTTAAAAGGCAGGCTTTTTGGTGTTTTTTCTCCCCCCCCCCTTTTTTTCTTTTTAATGATTGGAACGGATATTTTAATTCCTTTTTTCTTTTTTCTTCTTTTCTAACTCCCTTTTTTATCATTATAAAGATTTTCTTTTGAGGGAGTTATGATTTTTTTGAAGGAATTTTTGTAATTCTCAAGAAGGAGTAAAGTTTTTTTTTTTTTTTAAGATGGCTCCAAAGCGTCCAGGGACTTTTACAGTTCCTAAATCAATAGTTTCACCCTCTTCTGTGGTCCAACCAGCAATTGTGAAGGATTTGCAAGACATGATGGGAAATGTTACAATTCAAATTAGGGCAGAAATGAAAAAGATTTTAGAGGAAAATAACAAGATTTTGAGGCAAGACATAGTTTTGGCTTTAAAAGGAGTTGCTTCTGTTATTGAAAAGTTGAATTCCCGTGTGGAAGAAGTAGTTGAAAAAGTGGAATTAATGGAGGGAAAAATTGAAAGTATGGAAAAGGAAATGGAAAATGAGATTCTTATGCTTCAATATGGACAAATGGAATATGCCTTAAGAATTAGAGGCTTGGGAGAGTCCTTGCAAGGAGATCTGAAAGAGATGGTTGCAAAGGACTTTGCTGTGATTTTGAATAAAGAAAAAAAGGAAATACTTAGTGAAATTGAAAAATTATTTCGAGTTAATTCTGTGGTGGCAGTGCAAAAGAATTTGCCAAGAGATGTGGTAATTTACTTTGGGAAAAGATCTCTACGCAATGAAATTATACAAGCTTTTTATAAGAAGAGATTTCAAATTGCTTCACAAGATGTTATAATTTTAAAGGAGATCCCATCTAAAATTTTAAGAAGAAGAAAGGAGTTTGCTTTTTTAGCAAATGAACTTAAAAAGAGACGAATTTCGTTCAGATGGGATGTTCCGATTGGAATGGTGGTGAACTACCTGGGGATATCTTATAGACTTAATACTGCTTCTCAAGCAAAAGATATTTATACTTCGGTCTTGGGGGTATGTTCATCGTCATCTATTAAGTTTAAAACCTTGGAAGAAAAGAATGTAGAATTACAGTTTGAAGACCCTAAAATTGGGGAACCTTTGCCTGAGAGATCTCACCACGTTCAGATTGAGGAGCAGAAGATAACTTGTGTAGCACATAACTGTAAAGAAAAGCAACAACAGAAGAAGATTAAGGAAGTTTCACATCTAGTAGTTTCTGAATCTGTGGGAGAAGCAAGACTTATAAAGCCTTTGGAGCAATCTTCAAGGATGGAATTGTTGTCTGAAATGAAAAATGAGAAATCTCAGCTTGAGGAGTTTCAACAAGTTGAGAGGAAGGGGCAGAGGACAATTCGTGCAACATATAATTGTAAAGAAAAAGACCAACAGAATAAGGAGTTTAAGGAATCCCCACATGTATTGGCTTCTGAGTTGTTGGGAGATCCAGAAATTTTGGAGCAATCTTTAAAGCCAGATCTCAAAGCACTTCTCTTGAGTTTGATAAGGTTAAAGACGAATATTCAAAATTAGAGAATGATAAGGATGGAGAATGAAAATGGACAATCGAGATTGATAATAATAATATCAGTATGATAATGGATGGAGAATGAAAATGGACAATTGAGTCTGATAAGGATTGTGTTTTTTTTGTGGATGGAATTTGTTATTGGTGAAGATTTAAATGTTTAATGTGTTTATTGTGGATGGAATTTCTTATTGATAAAGATTTAAATGTGTATAAGGGATTTTTAAAGTTTTAAGTAATGTTTAAATTTGTGTTTTGGGGGAGTTTATAAAAATGATAATAATATTAGCATGATATTAGAAGGTTTGAGTATACTATAATGTGTTTAGTGTCTGGGTTTATTTTTATTTTTTTTTTCTAATTATTAGTATTATTATTTTTAAGATGGAATTTGATTAAATGTGTATAAGGGGATTCTAATGTTTAAAGTTTTAAGTAATGTTTAAATTTGTGTTTATGTTTAAATTTGTGTTTTGGAGGGAGTATAACTTGTTTAACTAAATGTATTTAGATTTGTTTATGATTTATATTAGATTTTATATTATAGTTATAGATGTTCAAAGAAAGTAGTGCTTAAAATTGTGTTTTGGGAGGAATTTATATAGAATGGTGGATAATATTATAAGCATGATTAGAAGATGTTCAGAGTATATTATAATGTGTTTAATGATTATTATTTTTTAGAGATAATCTATTTAATTTAGAATATTAAGATTTGTTTAGGATTTATATGTGTTTTAAGTTTTATATGTGTTTTAAGTTTTTTCTTTTTTTCTTTTTCTTTTTTGAAATATTTTGGATAAGCCCGTAATCAACTCTGGGAGGTCCAGGGGAGGGTTAGGGAGGTTTGGGGAGTTGGGGGAGGGTACGGGAGGCTGGGGGGGTTTGGGGAGGGGATTTGTCTTGTAAAATTTGAAAAATTTTCAATAAAAAAAATAATAATTAATATATATAATTATTATCTAATTATATAATATATAATTTTATATGTATATGAAATTGCTTGCTTCAAACCCATTCATACACAATGCAATATGGTTATTCTCTGTCTAAGACAGCGGTTCTCAACCTGTGGGTCGCGACCCCATTTGGGGTTGAACGACCATTTCACGGAGGTTGCCAAACAATGCGATCCGCCATTTTTTCCGCCATTTTTTCCCCTTTTCCTTAGCTGTGCTACTCCCTCTTATTCTATTGGCTTTTGAAAACCAATAGAATAGACTCTCTTGAACAGAGTCTAATTCTATTGGCTTTCAAAAGCCAATAGGAATTGTCCAGGCTGTCTTTGCCCTGCTGAGCCCGCCAAAAGCCCCAGTCTGCAAACGGTGCTGCAAGGGGAACAGTCTGCAGAGCTTCCCTCCCTGTTGAGCAACTAAAAAGTAAGTAAAAGAGGGCCGGGGGTGGGAGGTGGGAGGCCGGTGGGTGCAGGGAGGGTTGCTGGAGCGCGTGGGGCCTGGTAGGTGCCTTACTTGCCTTGGGCTGGGCCAGCTGGTGGCCCAGCCGGTGGTCGCCCTGTGCCACCGTTGCCGCGGCCGCCCGGGAGCGTCCGGACCTGCCTGCCACCGCCCCTTGCCGGCTATGCCTCAGCTGGCGCAGGGGGCGGCACCGTGCATGCACACTGCGCATGTGTGCCGCGTGCTTATGACCGGGGTCGCTGGTATAAAAAGGTTGAGAACCACTGGTCTAAGAGATAAAGGGGAAGAAGCAGCAGGGGCCACAGGGGATATCAAAAATAGGAAAAATGGAAGTTGCAGCAATACCTGCATGGAAAGAGGCAGGACATCAAAGAGATCTCTCTTTTATGCATATGCTGGTAAAGGAACTGTAATTTGTAAAAAAATTTCCAGTCCCCTTATGTATGTGTGTTTAACCTAAGCAACCTCCAAGGTTTTGTTCCACCAACTTTCAATATGACATCATTCTTTTTCTGGCCCCTAATAAGGCCCAAATAAAACTCTTAGCATGCAAATGCTTGTGCACTAAATCTAACTGAAAGTTCCTCTCTTATATAACTCACTTTCTCAAATATCATCTTGAAAATTGCAGCCTAATATTGAGGGTAATGTTAAATAGGATTCTTATGACAATATAAAAAAGAGCAAAGGCAACAAATAGATGCAAAGTGGAATGTGAAGTGGTTTTATTAACCCTTCTTTTTAACCAATTGGAATTCATCCTTCTCTGCAGGATGTATTTGCAGCTTTCATCACCAGCTGAGCACAATTCCCACCTCTGGCATTTGGAAACTCATGCAGTGGTTTTGGGAATCTTTCAGGATCCATTTATCATTGGCTACAGAACAATGTAATGTTCCTTAACGTTGCAGGAGATTATGAATCTAACAAATATAAAATAATTGGTCTGTGTTTTCAAATGTGCAATTCAGTTCAACAAATATAGAATTTTCTACCCTTTTCCATCTAATCACAATAAAGATGATTTCTAAATTTTCTGAGGAATTGTTCAAGCTTCTGCTTTACAAAGGCAGTTAATGGATGAATTCCTTGCATAAGATCCTAGACAGGATCTTGAATTTTCTGCTCCAAGTTTCTCCTGTGCCCTTTTATGTATATATATTCAATTTATTCAATTTTTGCCACTGGTAACAATAAATTGTCAATAAATACCCTCCTGCTTTGAACTATACTGCTTGAATCAGACTTCGGGGAACAAATGGAAATTTCAAGAAAAAAGCATTTTACTTACCTTCTTGGTTTTTTAAGATCTCCTTTCCCAAGCAACAATTTGAACAATCATCATCTTGGGAAAATACTTCAGCAAAATTGAACTCCTTATCTGTGCTCCACCATCCTTTACTTTCTGCATAACTTCTAAGCTTAGGGTGTTCTGCATCAATTTTTGTAGTTAAGGAGAGACAGTTGCAAATGCACTTTACTCCATCTATAGAAACAAGAATAAAACATTTAAATAAAATGTGACATTAAAAAAACTAAAGTGAGATCAATTTTGCATTAAATAAAAACTTGTTAGCTAAATGCTAATGTTGTAACAGACTTAGAAAGTTGCTTCACTGAACTGTGCAAAGCAGTGATGAATTGATTCTTTCTCACCTTGCTGCTTTTATAATAAATGGCAAAGCTCCCAGTTCTCTCAGGTGTCTATCACGTTTAAGGAAAGTATTGAAAATATCAGATGCACAGAATGGCTAGATTGATTTACAACTATGCAGAAATACCTAATATATAAATCCCATTCAGAAAAATAATCAACATATTTGCTTCTTTAATAAAACATGCTTGGCAGCTTGTAAGCCAAGATAGGAGACTGGCCTCAAACTTCCCTTTTTTTTAATTAGAAAGAACAATAGTTTAATCTATTCTCAAGGTGGAATAAAAGAGGCTTGCCTGGCTAAGGCTAAAAAGAAGTTTATTGTGCTTCATTCTTTCTGGTTAAGAAGAGTTAATCTGAAGGCAGAGAACAAGGAGACTACTGGAGAAATATAATGGAACTTATGGATGAGGGGAAAAGACGCTGCCTAGGGAATAATCAGACAAGAAAGGAAAGAACTCATAGTCACATAAGGGTCAAAAAAGAAATTTAGGAAGGACCCATCCTAATTGATCAGATGGTTAAAAATGGTGATGGGAATTTTGTACTGTCAGATTTGCAAGATTCTGTTAATGTAACCTTATAATAAAGTAACTTTAGCTCATATAATTGTGTTTCCTGTTTGGTTTACCTAAAAAAGAAACAAAAGAGGTGAATGAGTATAAGAGAGAGAAAAACGAACATAACAGGTCAGAATGAGAACTAGTGGAACCTCAAGAACAGTGTAACAACTACAAATGGCAAAACTCTGAAAAATGGAAAGCAGTGGATGGAGAAGTAAACTGCCTAATGCTGTGGTCGAAAACAATGCATTGGGGTGAGGTGGGGATAAAGATTTAGGCTGACAGGGAAACACCAGACAGCTAGGCCAATATATGTGTGGTTATCTATTGGCTATTCATGACTTAAATCCAGGAGTGTTTTATGGCAAGAGTGGGTTTAAAATAATCAAGATGGCAGCCACGACTATATGATTGAAGCTCTGTCCCTTTTAGACATGTACTATGATCTGAATATAAAAAAGAAAATCTTTGATCATAGGATTTTGGTTTCTTAGGTTTTTCTGCATTTCAACCATCCCTCCCCTTATTCCAGACTCTTCTGGATAAATCTCTTAATACTATTTAGCCTAAAACCCACTTTGTCCTTGAAACTCAGAATTCTCTATTCCAACTGGCAACAGTTCTCTGTGGTCTTCAGCAGATACGACTTGCCCATTCAGCAAGTTCAACGAGTACAGAAAGAGTTTGGGAAGAGTCTTTGTCTATTAGTTAAAGGATATCCCAGGCTGGGTTGTTCTAGGACACTTGTGCGATGGGAGAAATTCTACGGTGTGCCCTGGAAGTGATCAGAGTGAAGCCCCTCTCTGCACTCCCAGAGAGAGATGAGCTAGCCATGCTGATCACTTTTTTCCTTGAGCTCAACTTGCCAGGAGCATTGGGAGAGGATGACAGAAAGAAAGTGTGGGCTGTGAGTGAGTCTCTTCCAAGCATGTTTATATTTCGATCTATGAACTTCTTAACAGTTCATTAAAATCAATATAACTTAAATTAGTTACTAAAATAACAAAACTCCTGGTGGTATGAATGTTCAAAGTGTGACAGAATCTAGATACAGTCTACATACAGTTTAACTTTTTATTAAAGAAGCTCATTTATATAGGAGCATTGGCTGCTGGATATAAAAGTGGTGGAAGTGAGAAAGTTAAGAGGTTGATTCAACTCTTCTAGAATACTAGCTAATATTTTTGGCCAGTAAGTACAAAGCAGTGTTCTCACGAGTCTCTTACTCACCCACCTCTTCTGTATCCATGCTTTAGGTTTTCCAGTTTTGTGCATTGATACAGGATTGCCTGCTGCAGGCAGCTGAAGCAGCCTGTCTGAAGCCCCCTTATGGAGTGCCTGAATGTTTCCAGGCTGATTCCCTTTGGTGCATGTTATAATCCCGCAATAGAAAAAGAGAGAGCTCCAGGCTTTCCTGCTTCAACAAGTACCACAAAATTGCTCATAGTGTGAGCATCAAAGCCACCAGCCTGTAGTATGTTCTCATGGCCTGAAGATCTTGAGCTTCAGATAAGAATCTGGGCAGCCCAAAACTACTCAGTCTGATAGTACTTTGGCCTAGTAACACTATGAAAAAAAAACTAAGCAAATTCATTTCCCACAGAATAGGCCTGAAATGGTCACGTGCCATTCAAATTGCTTTGTAGATGCAATCAAGTAAACTTTTCTTCAGCAAAGAAAATAAGATCACTTCTATGGCCCAACTCACACTGTCATAGTGAATTTTACTCACAGGCCTAATGTGTATACTGTGGTCTTTTCAAAGTCAGAGAAAGACTGTTTTCACTCTTTAACAGTTCTAAATGATTAATTTGAAGATGCTTATACCAGTCAATTTAAAGTTCTTTTGGAACTCAGGTCCATTTTGCTCTTTTGACTTTCAGATTTGAAGATTTCTAACTTCTGTTTTGCAAGCTGTCTGGAGAACTTCAGTTGGGTGGTGATACAAAAATATAAGTACATGTAAGAAATAAAATTTGAATGTACACAGTGTCACGTTGGAAGTGCACATTTTATAATATTTTCTTATAAGTAATGGATGGGGATAAAAATTAAAATTAAAGCAGACCTGTAATTTTCTCTGCTGCCCAATATTTTCCAATAGTATCCAACACCCAAGCTTCTTTTCTGTCTACTATCAGATAAGCAGACAGGAAGGTATGGCACATACTTCCATCTTCATAGTAATTTCCACCTTGACCATATTCTTCCAGCAGCGAGACAATGACATCCAAGGCTTCTTTAGCAGTTGAACCTCTTTCAAGCCCAAGTCTGGGAAGAGAATCAAAACAAACGAACAAAAGTTATCTAGTTAAAGAATCACTTGGAATTTATCTCTAATTTATATACAGAAAAGAAAACAATGTAGCTATCTGTTGAGTAATTAAATAAAGTTTTAGAGTGTTTTTCAAACTTGGAAACTTGAAGATGTGTGGACTTTAACTTCCAGAATTCCTCAGCTAGCATGCTAATTGCCAAGTTTGAAAAGGCACTGGTTTAAGCAAACAATGATTGCACATGTTTTCTGGGGCCTTATTGTACTGTATAACTGTATAACTTTGCAACAATTAACCTCACATCTTGAAAAGAGATGTTTGTATCAAATATAAATGGTGGAATAAAAAAACATTTTCCTGTCAATTTCTTTTTGCAAATATCATACTCTCCATGCTGATGCTGTTCAGCTATGTTGCTATTATGTTAGTAAGCTCCCAGAAAACACAGCCAGCATCTGGCTCAACAGACACAGAGGGTGTAGGTTGGGGAAATCTATCGTGGCTATTTCCTGGAGCTCTAATTTGTATCAGCTGTAGATCAGCTGTATGAAAAAGAGAAAAAGGAGGAAGAGAAGGAAAATAATTTGGCAATGGAGAATTGGCAGTCAGAGGAAAAGAGTAAATCCCTAAAATTGTTTACTATTTTAAAAAATGCAGCCAGATAATTTCAAATCTATTTCAGATAGCTTTGCAAATTGTTGCCTTCTAGATGGACAGGGTGTTGGATAATAATAATAATAATAATAATAATAATAATAAAGTTGGAAGGGACCTTGGAGGTCATCTAGTCCAAACCCCTGCTCAGGCAGGAAGCCCTATAACATTTCAGACAAATGACTGTCCAGTCTCTTCTTAAAAACTTCCAGTGTTGGAGCATTCACCACTTCTGGAGGCAGGTTGTTCCACTGGTTAATTGTTCTAACTGTCATTAAAGATTTGTGATCCATTAAAATGCTTACCTGAATAAAATAACTTACTGAACAAAATTCTACTTAACAGGAGAAGGAGACAGAAATACGAGTTACTGACTTAAAGTGTCAAGAAGAGTTTGATTAGCAATATGGGGTTATGATGAATTTGGGTTACAAGACAAAATGTCAAATATAATTACTATTAATCTAGGACAAAACAATGGAATGAATCTCTCTCTCTTTCTCTCTGTGTGTGTGTTTGTGTGTGTGTGTGTGTGTGTGAGAGAGAGAGAGAGAGACAGAGACAGACAGAGACAGACAGAGACAGAGAGGGATGAATTTTCAGAGTCTATAAGCAGACCTCAGAGAATATGTAGCTTCAGCTGCTAGATCTTCCCCATTAATTAAAAGAAATATATAATTAATATACTATAAGACACTGAGAATATTTGCAGTTCAGGGTTGATCTGTGGGCTTCAACTCACAAAGTCTGAAGTAAGAATTACATTTTGCATATAATCTGATAAATACAATTCGTGTGCATCAGTATATTTGAATATATTTTATTTTTGAAACACAGAGTGACCAATGTAATAATATTACCAAAAGTACGTACTTACTTACTTACCTACTTTATTTATTTATTTCCAGTGTCTTGTGTGATTTTCAAAACCACCATGCCAAATAATGCACTGTTTTTAATCTGCTGGTATTCTGGACCAGTCCCATAAATTCCCTGTTCAGAAGACGAGCTTCTCACCTCACAAGATCCATTCCTAGGAGGGCTTCAGTTTCAGGAGCTGCTTCTCTGGCTAGCACAGCTTCATTAGCAATGAAGAGTCCATGTTCATTGGCTCCCATTTCAGCTCCCCAGAGCCAGGAAGGTCTGCTCAGTGCAACTGCATTTGTCTTAGGTACTTGGTCTATTTCAATGTATGTGCACTGTACAGAAAAAAGGAGGTTCATTTATTTATTTAATAGATGTTTATCCCACCTTTATTACTTTATAAGTAATTCAAGACAGGATCCATCTTCCGCCTCTTTTTCCCTGCAACAACAACCCTGTGAGGTGGGTTGGCCTGAAAGAGTGACTGGCCCAAAATCACCTAGATGATTTTCATGTCTATAACAGGACTAGAACTCATGGTCTCCCAGTTTTCAGGTCAGCAGTTTACTAGACCAAATTGACATCCAATTGTATCATCTTAGATTTAACCGCACAAAAATTATTACTATCCTATAGAAATGTGCAGAATTTTAGATTCTGAATAAAAAAAAGGAACTTCGGAACATATATTGTGAATTTTTAATTGTGGACTTCTAATGTCATAAGTCATTGTGTATGAGTTGGATGGCTGTATAAATTTGTTTAGTAAATAAACATAGAGGACCTATTTTCAAATCCTTACATAAAACAGGCCTTGGCTTAAGACACCACAGCTTGAATGGTATCTGCATATACTCCAAAGCACCTTTTTGTCTTACAGTCTGAAGCACAGTACAGATATATTGAGTCACTGCACAACTCAAATATTTGAGATACCATAACCGGTACGCCATTCAAAGAAGAAGTAACCTTAAAAGTAAGAAGCAGTCACTTTATATTATGGTTTAACATAATATTCAAACCCACAGTTAAAAAGACTAACAATGTTTTCATACACAGAGGAGAAAAGTGAGCTGGAGGTCTTTAATATTTTTAAAACAAATGCATTGTATACCAGCAAATCTCAGTATTAGTAGCAGTCCTGGAAGAGTAATCAAGTTGTCTACAATGACTTGATAGAACATAATAAAGAAGAAGGAAATTGGTTTGTCATGCCAACCTTTTGATTAAACTAGATTAACATATCTGACTTCTAGGTTTTTCCATTTAAAAAAAATAGTACATCTGGTCATAATGTCTGTGTGTGTGTGTGTGTGCGTGTGTGAGTGTGTGTGTATGCTTTCTTTGAGAATTTGTACGATTTTAAAAAGAATGGAATGTCCATTTTCTTATGCAAAATTCTGAAATAATTTCCCATCAGCTATTAGAAATTATTCTAATAAGAAGTCACAATTTGAATAAATTGGTGGTAGACTGGCAGTGCTTCAACATGCTGCAGAAACATAACAATAATTCTTTTTTTAAAAAAAAGAAGGAAGGAAGGAAGGAAGGAAGGAAGGAAGGAAGGAAGGAAGGAAGGAAGGAAGGAAGGAAGGAAGGAAGGAAGGAAGGAAGGAATATGAAATAGTCTGGGCATATTTGACCATAATAGAAAAACACTCCAAGAACTCTTTTGAGCCAAAATTAACATTTCTCTACCAATAGCATAAATGAGATGATATTTTGGTGAATTTTTAGACATTTATATATATTTAAAAATATTACTCAGTTTTCATTTTAATAATAATAATAATAATAATAATAATAATAGTAGTAGTAGTAGTAGTAGTAGTAGTAGTAAAGTTGGAAGGGACCTTGGAGGTCATCTAGTCCAACCCCCTGCTCAGGCAGGAAACCCTACACCATTTCGGACAAATGGCTGTCCAGTCTCGTCTTAAAAACTTCCAGTGTTGGAGCATTTACTACTTCTGGAGGCAGGCTGTTCCACTGATTAATTGTTCTCACTGTCAGGAAGTTTCTCCTTAGTTCTAGGTTGCTTCTCTCCTTTAAAATGTTTGTTTTAGATTTTGGATTAGACTACATATAATTTTTATCTTAAAAAACACTAAAGCATTCAGGTTTGCATGAAATTCCTAATAAATTCTTCCTCAACCTGCAATGTTCAAAATTCCAAGCTACAATGGCTAAATTCTAGGAGTTGCTGTCTAAACAAGGGAAACCAGATTAGAGAAGGCCACTGTATTATAGTTTATTATCTTATTATATAAGTAGCCTTAAAAAGATATGAGTAGCTACATGACTTATGCCTATAATCTTTTTTTTAAGATTTCAGATGCATTCATGACCTCAGCACATCAAAAATTATTATAAATGTAATAATTCCTGATGTATTGAGCCATGAATGCATTATTATTACGTTTATAACAAAATCTGGATAGCTGAGTCTATAATTGCAATGGTGAAGAATCAAACATCTCTATGAATAGAATACCCTTTTTAAAAAGGCTCTAAAATTGACCATCTGGGACAAGTGAATTTATCTAATCACATTACTGAGGATCCAACAGCCATATAAATTCATAGTACTGCAAATTTAAACAGAAAATTTAAATATATCACCATCTATCTTTGAAAATTGGAATATCACTGTTATGATGAATATATTGATATCTGAGAAAGAAGATCTGTTAACCTCTGTTAACTGTATACACTGTCTCAAATAAACAGAATCAGTTGTGGACAGACAATTGGAAGGAAAGAAAAGAAAAATAGTACTTTAAGATGCTCTACAAGTGTTTCAACAATTTTCAAAAATATTTTAGCAGAACCTCAAATATTTTTATTTACCTCAACTTTGCATCCTGGATCATAAGTAGCAGCAGCAAAATAAACTACCTCCTGAACTTCATCACGAGGACGTGCAGAATTTTTCCCAACTACTACACGGCCATCTTTAGTAGGTGGTGGAAATGCAACAAAACAGTAGCTGGGAGGTGCCACTTCCATCCTAAAACATAAAGGGTAGAATTAGATATTACAAATATGAACCTGTCTTATTTCAGGGTTGGACCCTGGCGCTAGAACTGGCTGTACAAATCCAGATAGATTTTTTTTTACTTAAAACTATTTATTTAATAACTGCATATAATCTTTAATTAACCATGATTGGTTTGATGGATATGCGAATTATCATTTTCTAGCTTTAAAAGGAGATAGCATATAAAAACATAGGGCACAATTCAGCTTTATTGATTATTGTTTCAAATCATTATGTATGCTTGGATAATTTATTCCAAGATAAAATACCTGTATCACTTTTGATGTATGTCATATCAAACAAGACAATAGCCAGAAAACAAACTCTCATTCCTTTAAGACTAATGAAATAATAACTTGCAAGAAATTTCTCACTTCAAGAGCATCTTGATGTATATTCATTTGAAAGGCAATTGACTGTATATAGTATACAGTAATGCTATTTTTTCCACTGTTTGTTCAATCGTTACAATGACAATATGCTAAATATATACAGTATGCTGAAATATAGTTTTGATTAATATGGAAGTGTATTAATCTGTATCAATTCAACTCACTCTGAAAAGATAAGCCCCCAATGGAGTTTGTATATAAGGTTGTCTTCAGGAATGGAATGGAAGGGGAAAGGTGCTAACCTCACGCTGAATTAAGGACCTACTACTGCAAGAAATGAACAAAAAAAAAATTCTTTAAATTTTACCTGTAATCCAAGGCTGTTTACAGGCTTTCAAGAAATTTAGGGACACGTAAAAGGTATGTGCTATGAAGCAGGGATACCTGGCAAATCTCCAACTCCTGCTTCGTTCTTGGGGTACAGCTGATGCCATAGTTTTTAAATATCTTATAAAGATATTATAAAATTCTTAAGCAGAATTTCTTTGTAGTTGAGTTTTATTTTAAGATAAAGAAGTGCCAGACTTGTAAAATTTTTGCACACATTTATAGCAATAGAAATAGGCCACCACACTGTGTATTAGTTCACACTGAACCAAGTAAGAAGGGGGAGAGGTTGTCTGCCAGCCAGCTTTTGTTTCAAATGGGTCAGCCATCAATTTTGGGTGCAAATACAGTCACTAGGAAACAGCCTCAAGGAGTGTGGGAAAATCAGGCTGGCTTTGCAATTTCACTGAACTGATAAAATGGGGGATTGCTAGTTTTTCTGACTTATTACTCTAAAGCTTTGATTCCATGAAACATGTTCAGGATGCTCCCGATTGCACGTCATAGGTTGGGAAACTCAGCTTAATTGAATTGGTGGCCTGCTTTCCTTGAGTTCTGATCATGATCCTTTTTTTAGCATTTCTTCAAAGGTTCCGATCTAATGGCCCATATTTTCAGGCAGCCATTTCTATGGCACGCCCACTCCTTCCCCTCCCTTTTTTTTTTTTTTTTTGCTTTTAAATTAACAGAAGCAGACAGATAGGAGCATATATTGTACAGTGTAAGCATGCTCAGTGAAAAAATAAATAGCATCCTCCTCCATTATGTCTTCTCTGTCAGGAGAAATGCCAATATAAATACTATGATAGGGATAATGTATCTTTATTAAATAAACATATTTTAAAAAGATGGTTACCGTATATGCCGGCGTATTAGGCGACCCGGCATATAAGACGACCCCCGAGTTCGATGCCGGATCGCAAGACGATCGACGCCGAGTCGCATATAAGATGACTTTCTAGGCATGCGATTCGGCGTCGATCATCTTATACGCCGGAAATGACGTCATTTCCGGCGTATAAGATGACTTTCTAGGCATGCGACTCGGTGTCGATCATCTTATACGCCGGAAATGACGTCATTTCCGGCGTATAAGATGATCGACACCGAGTCGCATGCCTAGAACGTCATCTTATACGCCGGAAATAATAAATAAATAAATAAACGTTATGACTCGGCGTATAAGACGACCCCCGAGTTCGGAGGCTGTTTCATCGCTCTCAAAAGTCGTCTTATACGCCGGAATATACGGTATATGTTTCTGACTACTTTATACACAGTACTCCAAAACAGGTTTCATAATAATTTTAGAAGGTACATACAGCATACTTGTCAAATTGTTCAACCCTACTTCACAGTAAGAACACCAGTCTTCTAGAATCTCTGTACCTCGGTACCTATACCTGTAGTACTCTTAGTAGTTGCACAGAAGCAGTTCTGACTGACCTCCCTTTGTTGAAAAAAAGAGGGCATTTCTGATACCCTCCCTCTCTATCCTCTGTGTCACATCTCAGCTGTAAAACTCCTGATTAAAACCAGGGGTAGGCAACCTTGGCTCTTTTATAATTCGTGGACTTCAACTCCCAGAATTCCTGAGCCATCCCTGAGCCATGCTGGCTCAGGAATTCTGGGAGTTGAAGTCAGAGCCAAGGTTGCCTACCCCTGTGCCAGGCCAACATTCTGCCCTCTGGTGGTTTTATCACCTACATATTTTCCTAAGAAAATGCTCGTAGAGCAGTGGTTCTCAACCTTTCTAATGCCGCGACCCCATAATACAGTTCCCCATGTTGTGGTGACCCCCAACCACTTATACATCACTGGGTGCCAGGGGCGTGGCCAAAGAAAAGGGGGAAAAATGGTGGACAGCCTTGTTTGGCGACCCCCGTGAAATGATCGTTCGACCCCAAATGGGGTCCCGACCCACAGGTTGAGAACCACTGTTGTAGAGCATTAATTTACAAATAGTAAAAAGTGTCATACGTCACTTTTTTAGTGACATTGTAACTTTGAGTGGTCACTATATGAATTGTTGTAAGTCAAAAACCATCTGTATTGAAGCGTTATGCATTTCAGCTGACAAATGGTTCCTCATAGCAGATGTTCAAAACTTTTTTTTCTCCACTGGAATGCAATAGGGAAGATCCTGCTGGCAATATCATTTTCTTTCCCCAATACCGCTTCTCCCTTGCTTCCACCCATTCTTTTGTGTTCCTTGGGTGGATAGAGATCTGAGCCAGCCACATACAAAAGCATTTTGAAAGCATCTTCCATATATCTTTTCTGCAACACTTATTGATTTGGGATATTCCAGAGTAGTAGTGGGTAGGCAGGGAGTTCTATCAGTTTCCCTTTGTATCCAAGTGATTGGAAGGATTGCCCTACCATTTGGATGAGAAAATGATGGGTGGTTTATTTTAATCAGTCCTCTAGTGAAACCTTTCCTTTTTTGTCTAGTTTATATAAATAAAATGAAATAGTGCCATGTTCCATACTCCACTGCCCTTTTGGATATTCATGGGTTTACTTCCACTGATACCCCACTTGCTGCCATCATTCCCTTGAAACACCTATTGATTTGGAATATCTGGGTGAAATTGATGAGAGTTAGGACAATTTCTCCTTCAAGCCAATGAAAAGAGGAAAAGTGAAACTGTAAAATACCGTATATTCCGGCGTATAAGACGACTTTTGAGAGCGATGAAACAGCCTCCGAACTCGGGGGTCGTCTTATACGCCGAGTCATAACGTTTATTTATTTATTTATTATTTCCGGCGTATAAGATGACGTTCTAGGCATACGACTCGGTGTCGATCATCTTATACGCCGGAAATGACGTCATTTCCGGTGTATAAGATGATCGACACCGAGTCGCATGCCTAGAAAGTCATCTTATACGCCGGAAATAACGTTATAAACTACGTTTATTTCCGGCGTATAAGATGACTTTCTAGGCATGCGACTCGGTGTCGATCATCTTATACGCCGGAAATGACGTTATTTCCGGCGTATAAGATGATCGACACCGAGTCGCATGCCTAGAAAGTCATCTTATACGCCGGAAATGACATCATTTCCGGCGTATAAGATGATCGACGCCGAGTCGCATGCCTAGAAAGTCGTCTTATATGCGACTCGGCGTCGATCGTCTTGCGACCCGGCGTCGAACTCGGGGGTCGTCTTATACGCCAGGTCGCCTAATACGCCGGCATATACGGTACTTTCTCCCTGAATTTGACTACAGTGTGCCAATTTTCTAGCTCAAGTGACAGCAGAACATAAAATGGGTTTCCTCAACTGGTCCACCATCAAAATGCTTCTCTGAGCAAGCAGCTCCTGCACTGAACAGGGGACTTGAATCAAGGACCTCTAAAGTTCCTTCGGATACTCGGATTCTATGATGTTAGTCTCGTTTGCAAATTAAAACTGTATTTCCTCAAAGACCTGCTCACAGAAAAGGAAGATATTAGTTTCCTGGCATGGATGGGAAGAATAAAGAAGCAGGTAACTTCACCAACCAGAGGATGAAGTAACTGCCATCCAGATAAACCACCTGGCCAACACTGTTGGTATAGCTTTAAATTCCAATTTCTTAATCTGGATTCATTCCTAGTCAGTATCAACATAAACAGCAACAGCTTATGGCTGCCAGGCAGAATGGCCTTTATACACATCAAATATTTCCAAAGAACTATTGTATGTAACCTAGAAGGTAAATATGAAAGGAAATTTCCCACACTCTCCAAAAATTTTAGAGCTGTATATTTGATTTTGCAGAAATACATTTTCAAGCTGATACTTTGTATAAATCTGCTTATAAATCTGCCTCTGGATGTAAGAGAATTGTTGCTGAACAATGAATAGTTCTATATTTTCTGATGGTTTGAAAAACACTGGACATTTGCTTTAGAGGCATTAGTAATAACTACTACATTTCACTATTCCAAAGAGCAGAAAACAATCAAGCAGTATATGTAAATCACTAGGGCAACAATTCCAAAGTTATTTTGAGTTAATAGTTTAATAATATCAAAAATGTTCCCAAAAAAAATAAAGAGGTCCTGGTCTATAACAACATAGTTAGGGACTATGTACTTTTCTATTACAAATTTCTACATATTATTATTGCAGTAACCTCTTCTATCCTTTACCCCACCATTTTGTATGAGGATTCAAAAAAAAAAAAAGACACACCCATCCTCATTCATTATTTATGCACAAGGATTCAATTGGCAGATTAATAAGAGATATATAATGGGGTGGGGTTGGGTTGGGTGGGGTTGGGTGGGGTAGGGTAGGGTAGAGTAGAGTAGAGTAGAGTAGAGTAGAGTAGAATAGAATAGAATAGAATAGAATAGAATAGAATAGAATAGAATAGAATAGAATAGAATAGAATAGAATTTGAATGTTTTATAAAGACTTGGACAACCTTGCCTTTCTTAGCATCACTATGACTTTGACTGACCTTTTCAAAATAGGACACTGAGATGAGCATCATGCAAAAATAATGCAACACATAGCATGCAATTTACTTATTTATTTTCCCACTCAAAAATTTATTATTTTTAATAATTTTTAATTATTTATTATAATTTATTATCATCTGCAATCCAGCTGATTTAAAAGAGAAGTAGGAACCAAGATGATTAATCCGTCACAAAGTGATTACACAGCAGTACTGCAAAGCTATGAATGTTACTGTTTGACTGTTTAGAAAAGCTATTATCAAGAACGTCCCATGTGTGAAAATATTAGATTAGCTGATCAATGATTCAAGCAAAGGCCTTCTTCAGCATAGAAACTGTACTTGCAGAATTGATCCAGGGATTATACTGAGGGCTTACGTGTACTTTGCTACTAACCTATGACCCCTTCCAAGAATCCTCAGAGATCTTGTATGGATGCACAGATAGAAGGACTAGGAAACACAGTTGAAATCTTGTATCCCACGCTGATCTAAGAACTGTAACAAACATTTGAGTAGATGTTTTCTATATTACAAATCAAAAACATGGCTACAAATATATTAGAAAAGAAAAAAAGTTTTGCAGAGAAATGTTAGTGGCATTCCCTATTAGTTCAGTCAGGCAACTGACAAAAATAGACAAGACTTACACAATAGAACAAATTCATTTAAATATATAGATACAGATATAGATAAGCAGTGTTCTGGACAATTTAAATGCCAAAAGACTGAGGAAAAAAATGCTCTTAGCAAAACTAATCAGTTATTAAATAACATTAAAGATTGCAATATTTAATCTACACTTCATACATTACATGTCTGCAGTAAAAGGAAAGATTGCTTCTTTAAATACAAAAGTTTGGCTTTGGAGAATTGCTGAATTTACACTGTAATGGTTATTTAACAACTGTATTTACTGGGACTGTTTAACATACTTTATTTCAGTTTATGAGCCAGGAATTTATTGCTCATAATTTTAGATTGTACCTAGCAGTTTGTAAATTGCAGCAAAAGTTATTTTCATCACTATTATTACTATTATTTAAAGGCAGTCAACTTAAACTGAGACAGTAAAAATTCTTCAGATGATATACATATACATATTCTTCGGATTATACATACACATACACACTTCGCAGGTGGTCATATTACACCAATTTAGTCTCCTTAAAGCTAAGTCATACTTATAAATGAAAGAGAGCTCATTTAACATTATGTATGATGAATTAACTGATTCTAGTTCTATCAGCAGTCAAAATCATCTAGATATTTAACACTATAATTAAATGGGCATACTGTAATAAGTAGCTACAGTATCTTTTATTTCAACATACCCACTGTTCATCTAAATTATACACAATCTGTAATTTATTCTAGTTACAAGTAAACTCTAAAGAACATGTTGGGTTGTTATTTTTTTGCTATTATTCTTTTATCAAATTGGTGCCTTCCAGATGTGTTAAGACTATAATACTTAAGAGCCCCAGCCAATGGGGCCAAAACTGAAGGATAATAATGGAGTTGTCATTCCAATATATTTAGGCTGGAAAGTTGGAAAAGGCCTATAAAGTTTCAGAGAGTCCAATTTTATATTTTATCCAACTTTATATTGCTCACAGTATACTGTGGAGCATAATGTGATCTGATATTTGCATAACAGAAAAAGATTTCCATGCATAGTCATACAGGTAGCACTAAACCATGATTTGTTTGGCCCTGGTTCAGTACCTTAAGAAAAACTATGGGGATTGGTCCATTAAACCACACAGCACAGAATACAGACCCAAATCAGTGAGTTCTGACAACACGCCAAGCCAAATTTTTAAAAAAACAAGCACCTGTTTAGCCCAATGGATGAACCCAGCCTAATGCTAACCCTGATCGGTGATGAGCTACAACATCATATATTGGGTCAATGCATTGAAGTAGCCATTGTGGACCACAGATCATTGGCCAAAGCTTTTAAAATCACTTTTTGCAGGTGACCATCTTCATATCCTCTTTCAAAAACAATCATCTACTGCTATGGCATCATTATTCTAAAAGCTCTAAAACTCCTTTTGATTTTCTGGGGTTTCATTCTAGTAAAAACATCCACAAGGAAGGAAAGAAGGCAGCCTTTTCGATTCCCCCCCCCCCACATACACACACGTACACATAAACACGAGTCTGACTGTAAAAGAGAGGAAGGAAGGAGAGAAGCCAAGAGGGCGACCTGTAGTCGCGAGATTCCCTGGGGCGATTTAGGCTGGCGCTGACGGCACATCCCAAGGCGCTCCGCCGCTGAAAGGGAGAACGAGCTAAAAGCGTCCATTGGCGATGGGCAGCAGCGGGCATGCTCTTGGATGCCCAGCTGGCATCGCAGAGCATCCTTCCTCCCTCATTCGGCAAGGAAGGAGATAAGACTCACCTTCGAGACGCTTCCCCGTGGATCTTCCTGCTTCTCTTTTTGAGGACGCCAGGAAAAAAGAGAGACGCTGCCTCGGCTCCAGGTAACAGCCAGGCTCCCACTCACGTGAACAACCTGCTAGCAGCACACGGCAGAGGGAGGGAGGGAGGGAGAGAGAAAGGGAAGGCGGGCAGGCGTCAGCTACTGCTCAGCCAACTCACCGCTCGGTGGTGGCGCCTTTGTCGCAGCCGCTGACGCTCCCCTTTCCCTGCGTTGGGTTCAGACGGCGGGGGGGCTGCTGCAGCCAGACTAGGGCGGGCAACAGCGGGAGGCGGGGATTAGAGCTCTTTCTGCCAGACAGCGGCGGAGGGGGCACCTACGAAACATCGGCCTCGCCCAGGGTGCGGAACCTGAGCGCCGCGTTTCTGAGCATGAACCAAGTGACATCTCAAATCAAGCTGCCTTGAGTGCCGCGTAAATAAGAGGGAAAGATAGATATCATATGGTAACATTATTTCGTTCTCTTTCCTAGCCCTCCATCCCCGGGTTCAGGAAAGCTGTGAAAGCTGGGGTTGGTGTTAATGATTTGCCTAAAGCCCGTTTTGTTTTGTTGATTTTGTTGTTTATCAGATTATTTTAGTCTGGACTACCAGTCAGATTTTTACGTATTTAGCTGTTTTGTTTTTAGTTTTATATCCTACCAGAGCAATAAATAAATATTAACAAAATAATCTGAAGAATTATGATTGTGATGGGAGAGGTAAAGCAAATATGTTGGAAGAGGCAAATGTGTTAAGTTGGAGGCTCTGGAGTGGGCTATTTCATAGTTCCATATTAGACTTCCACTACACTGAGTGAGAAAATGTGGTTGAGGCAGCTCTCTCCATCACAAAACTTAAACCCTTAGTGCTATGTTGCAAGAACATCTAGTTTTTATAACTGTGATAGCAAAAGAATCCAGGTCAGCAGGTGGAAAATACTTGATTGGTCAAATGCTGTGGGATCTGCTTTGAAATGTTACAGCGCATTTCCTGTGCTGTGCCATTTCAGCCAGTTACACTCTTTTCTAGGGTTCCATTCCCATTTTAATAGCATTTTCAGACCACCCAGGCTGCTCCCATATTTATTGAGTGGGTTTGACGGATTTTCCTATAAAGTGTTTTTGAGATTCCCTAAATCTGCTGATGGCTTTCCTTGTTTTTTGACTATGTCACATAATTTGATCTATTACAATAGTTCTCAACCTTCCCAATGCCGCGACCCTAACCATGTGGTAAGTCGAGGACTACCTGTATCTCCCTGTGGGCGGGGCAGGAGGCGCGCATGCTCCACCTCCGCTCCTGCGGCTGCACGCGGGCCATCGCCCAGCAACTGCCTTGGCCCAGGAGCGCCGCGCATGCGTGGTGCCGCCCCCTGCGCCGGCTGAGGTGTAGCTGGCAAGCGGCAGCAACAGCGCAGGCCGACCACTGGCTGGGCCACCAGCTGGCCCAGCCCAAGGGAGGCATCCACCGGGCCCCATGTGTACCAGCAACCCTCCCTGCACCCACCACTGCCCCGCTAGCCTTACCTTGGCCACTGCATGTTCGGTGCAGTGGCAGGCAGGCCCAGGCGCTCCTGGGCGGCCCTGGCATGTGGCAGCAAGGGCGCAGGGCGACCACTGGCTGGGCCACCAGCTGGCCCAGCCCAAGGGAGGTAAGGCACCCGCCGGGCCCCACGCACGCCAGCAACCCTCCCTGTGCCCGCCGGCCTCCCACCTCAACCCCTGGCCCTCTTTTACTTACATTTAGTAGTTGCTCAGCAGGGAAGGGTGGAAACGTCCAGAAGCCTTGCCTTAGCTGCAGACAACGTGCAGCACCGTTTGCAGACTGGGGCTTTTGGCGGGCTCAGCAGGGCAAAGACAGCCTGGACAATTCCTATTGGTTTTTGAAAACCAATAGAATTAGACTCTATTCAAGAGAGTCTATTCTATTGGCTTTCGAAAGCCAATAGATTCTATTGAATATAGATTCTATTCTATTGGCTTTCAAAAGCCAATAGAATAAGAGGGAGTAGCACAGCTAAGGAAAAGGAGGAAAAAAATGGCGGACTGCGTTTGGCGACCCCCGTGAAATGGTCGTTCGACCCCAAATGGGGTCGCGACCCACAGATTGAGAACCACTGATCTATTATAATGTACTCTACATGGGGTTGCTCTTGAAGAGTATCTGGAAACTTCAGTTGGTTCAAAATGCAGTTTTGCACAAGTCTAGATTTGCACTTCTCATCTTGCAGTTTTGAACTGCATTGGTTGCCAATTTGCTTCGGGTGCAATTCAAGATGCTGGTTATCATCTTTAAAAATAAATCCCGTGTTACTTTATTTGAAGGACCACTTCTCCCCAGTGGCATCTACTCAGCCCATTAGAGCGAAAAGCAAGGCATTTTGCAGGTCCTATCCATTAAGAAAATACAATTGGTCAGACCAAGAAAATGAGCCTTCTCAGTGGTGGCTTCTTTCCTTCTTTCCAATTGTGGACTTACGACCACAATTGAACCCAAAATTTATGGTGCTTAGTCAGAAATTTGTTAAGTGAGTTTTACCCCACTTTACAACTTTCTTGCTACATTCATTTTTCAAAATAGAGATCAACAGATTTGGAAGGCAAATAAAATAGCTTGAGTTCAATTGGCAATTGAACTCCAATTCAAAAGAACTGTACAAACTGTACTTGATTTATATAGAAGAGAAAAAATCTTTTTAAGTTGCAATTATGGGATCTATTGGATTTTAAGTTAGGTCTTGGACAGAGCACTAGCATTCAAGAACCAACCCCCTCCTTAATTGCTTTCATTCTGTTGAATTGGGAAAAGAAGACGGTTTCTTTAACAAAAATTACTATAAGGTGTTAGATTATTTATATGAGACACTGTAATCACTTCAAGCAAAAAGCAATGTTTTATTTTTTTACAAAAAGATTTGCTGATAAAGCAGTGTTTGGTCCTGTATAAATTATATAAACAATGAAATCTACTAGCACATTGTGAGAACTATCATTTAAAATATTAAGAGTTCTAAGAGCACAGAAATGAAATACTTGAACAACAGATATATTCTCAATGAATCCTTCAAAGCAAGCAGCTGTATTTTCAGTAATATTTGGTTTTGGAAATGTTTTAATTCCATGCTCTTAAACATATAATAATGCTTCCATCTGAATGAAAACATTCAAATAGTTCATTCAATATTTAAACACTGTATTATTTGGTATAAGAAATAGATCTTATAGAAAAATAGCTGTTAAAATTTATGCACATACTGATGAGTAACAGCTCCAAAACTTTAAAAAAAAAACATCCATTTTGCAAACTATTGCTTTTTTCTAAGTCAACTTTTTCACAATGTTTTATAGCTCATCATGTTTATAAACAAATTCTCTTGCAGATATAAAGCCATCACTGTTCTCATCTTCTTTATTAAATATGTCTTCAACCAAAATATTATGGTGACTTGTATTAATTGGTGCACCATGTCTTTCAAATTCCTTCTTCAAATACATTTTTACCTTTGAGACAAAGAAAAAAGATCAAAATTCAAAATCACAGAGAAGATAAGCATAGACTTCTAGAGAGAAGCCACAGTAATTGAAAGACTTTATTTTAGTACACTTTCACATTGATATTATCCTTTTGTTAGTTGGCCAAAAGAGTAGGATGAGCATAATATAAAAGTAGTCCATATACATCGAATATAATCCAAGACTACATATTTATTTATTTAAATTGTATGCTGCCCATCTTACCAGAAGAGACTCTGGACAAGTTATAATTAAAACATATTATAAACATTAAAACAATAAGGATCAAAAATTTAAAATTCAATTAAAATAAAACTAACTGGAATGGAAAGGAAGAGGGCAAAGTGATATTACCTATTTCATCAGCCACCTCCAAAGTGCCACAACTCCAATTGGGGGCCTCAGGACTAGTTGTCAAGGCCTTTTGGGACAGTGTTTCTCAACCTTGACAATTTTAAGGCATGTGGAATTCTGGGAGTTGAAGTCCACATGCTTTAAAATTGTCAAGGTTGAGAAACACTGTTTTGGAAGGTCAAAAGGGTAGGTGCATATCCCTAGTTCTTGATTCATCTAAACTCTCTCACACATAATATGTTGAATAACTGTGCAGCAGAAATCTGAAGGCAGGAGCAATTCTTCAGTTCTAATCTAGCTCAGCTTATAATGAAAATTTATTTATAGATAGCAAATTTGCATAGAACTTCAAGGGAAATGATAGCTTAGTTATCCTTTTCTGTAAACTAACATATTCACCTCTTCTTTAGACAGCTTCCAATCATCATTAAGATCCATCTCTTGAAAGGACTCATGAGATCTTGGCCCATTTCTAATTTCTAAAAGGTCAATGTGGAAGATCAGTGTACTTTCAGGTGGAATTTTTCCTACCAAAGAAATATGTAAACAAGAAATATATAAAATGGAGATTATATTAAGCCTAATACTGAGAACATCACACACATTTTGTTGCCTACCATTATCAAAAGTACTGAGAGTTACATAAGGTCTAACTAATTTAGAATGCAAATCCATGCACAGTCAGTTAAAAGTTAGTCTCATTGAACCTTTCAATGTATCAGAATTACAGCTCTTATAGTTTAGCATACTTGAAGGTACCAGAATGGTGGACTAATCTCTTAATTATATTATCGTATCGTAAGTACAGAAAGATATCCAGTCTTCTATGGCAGGGCTTTTCAACCAGTGGTACGGGTACCACCTGTGGTACATTGGCATCTGGCAGGTGATACGCGAGCATCCTAGAAAAGTGGTAGCGGGGGAGGGGAATGAGCTGAACCGGTAGCAGCACCACACAAGCCTGAGTGAGAGATGGCTGGAGCTGCAGAGCTGTCAGGGCTCAGTGGAAGCACCAGGATCAGCGCCAGGCTTCAACTGCAGCTCAGTGCTGATCCTGGCGCTTCTGCTGAGCCCAGAAGAAGCGCCAATCAGCTGGAATGTTGCAGCATCCCCACAGTCTTGTGATTTACATTCAGATGTTTGGCAACTGATTCATAGTTACAGTGGGGCAAAAAAGTATTTAGTCAGCCACCAATTGTACAAGTTCTCCCACTTAAAAAGATGAGAGAGGCCTGTAATTGTCATCATAGGTAGACCTCAACTATGAGAGACAAAATGAGACAACAAATCCAAACAATCACATTGTCTGATTTGGAAAGAATTTATTTGCAAATTATGGTGGAAAATAAGTATTTGGTCAATATCAAAAGCTCATCTCAATACTTTGTTATATATCCTTTGTTGGCAATGACAGAGGTCAAACGTTTTCTGTAAGTCTTCACAAGGTTGGCACACACTGCTGCTGGTATGATGGCCCATTCCTCCATGCAGATCTCCTCTAGAGCAGTGATGTTTTGGGGCTGTCGCTGGGCAACATGACTTTCAACTCCCTCCAAAGATTTTCTATGGGATTGAGATCTGGAGACTGGCTAGGCCACTCCAGGATCTTGAAATGCTTCTTACGAAACCACTTCTTCGTTGCCCGGGCGGTGTGTTTGGGATCATTGTCTTGCTGAAAGACCCAGCCATGCTTCATCTTCAATGCCCTTGCTGATGGAAGGAGGTTTGCACTCAAAATCTCACAATACATGGCCCCATTCATTCTTTCTTGTATACAGATCAGTCGTCCTGGTCCCTTTGCAGAGAAACAGCCCCAAAGCATGATGTTGCCACCCCCATGCTTCACAGTAGGTATGGTGTTCTTTGGATACAACTCAGCATTCTCTCTCCTCCAAACACGATGAGTTGTGTTTCTACCAAACAGTTCTACTTCGGTTTCATCTGACCATAGGACATTCTCCCAATCCTCTTCTGGATCATCCAAATGCTCTCTAGCCAACTTCAGACGGGCCTGGACAGGTACTGGCTTAAGCAAGGGGACACGTCTGGCACTGTAGGATCTGAGCCCCTGGCGGCGTAGTGTGTTACTGATGGTTGCCTTTGTTACATTGGTCCCAACTCTCTGCAAGTCATTCACTAGGTCCCCCCGTGTGGTTCTGGGATTTTTGCTCACCGTTCTTGTATCATGTTGACCTCACGGGAAGAGATCTTGCGTGGAGCCCCAGATCGAGGGAGATTATCAGTGGTCTTGTATGTCTTCCATTTTCTAATTATTGCTCCCACAGTTGATTTCTTCACACCAAGCTGCTTGCCTATTGCAGATTCAGTCTTCCAAGCCTGGTGCAGGTCTACAATTTTGTTTCTGGTGTCCTTCGACAGCTCTTTGGTCTTCACCATAGTGGAGTTTGGAGTGTGACTGTTTGAGGTTGTGGACAGGTGTCTTTTATACTGATAACAAGTTCAAACAGGTGCCATCAATACAGGTAATGAGTGGAGGACAGAGGAGCCTCTTAAAGAAGAAGTTACAGGTCTGTGAGAGCCAGAAATCTTGCTTATTTGTAGGTGACCAAATACTTATTTTCCACCATAATTTGCAAATAAATTCTTTCCAAATCAGATAATGTGATTGTCTGGATTTGTTTTCTCATTTTGTCTCTCATAGTTGAGGTCTACCTATGATGACAATTACAGGCCTCTCTCATCTTTTTAAATGGGAGAACTTGCACTAAATACTTTTTTGCCCCACTGTATGACAGTCACAGTGTCCCAGGGTCATGTGAAGTGATCAAAACCTGCTGCAGCCACCCAGCAGATGGGAATAAAAACCAAACACCCCTCCCCCCACCCTTGCTGCCAATCCTCAACAGAAATGCTCACAGCAATGGAAACCTCAAACAGGAGGAAGAGCGCCGCCAGGTGGGCAAGCAGGTGTCTGTGCCTTGGGGGCCACTTCGAACAGTCACTAAGCAAACTGTTGTAAGTCGAGGACTATCTGTACTTTATCACTTTTTTCCTTTTTTTGGGGGGGTTATCAAGTTTTTGACACCTTGCTAGGCGACTGGTAGTACTCAGATGTTGCCATATCCCCAAAGTGGTACAATGGGTGAAAAGGTTGAAAAGCCCTGTTCTATGGTCACAAATGTACACATTTTCTGTTTGTAGCTCCGCCCCATTTGGATTATATACAGGTACTTTTGTACCTTTTGTTTCTGCAATGTCAATGTTTATAAGATGGCCAAACATGTCCAGACTTCCAAAAGTCTCCTGTAGCCAATTAAGAATCTTTTTGGTCTTGGATTTGGATTCTCCCCCTACACATACATACACCTTTTCTTATAGAACGCTTCTAGCTCAAATGTCCTTTATGTCCAAGATTTATCCAAGATTTTCAGTAATATTCAAACTTTGAGCTATGGAGGCAGTGCCTAAGCATATTTCTTTCCTTTCTAAAAGCATCCCATGATTGATTTGAAGGTATATTTCAGAGGTTTTCTCAAAATATTAAATGCAGACAAGTATGTATTAAAAGATACAGAAAGATGTTGGGCTTTCCATGTAGTTGTATTGATTATGTAACCTGGATAAACAGATAAATGTTGCTTGCATATATGATTTTATGAACCATAATAATATAATTATATGATTTTATGAACCTGAAATTATTACCTTTGCCTTCTTTTCCATAAGCTAGAGATGGAGGAATTGTTAATTTGCGTTTCTCTCCGACACACATCTGTGTCAAACCTTTATCCCAGCCTTGAATAACTTCCTTTATACCAAGAGTAAACCATGTTGGTTGGCCATTATTATGCTTGTGACTGAAACAAAGAAAACATTCACTTAGGACATTCAGTTGAAAAAAATCCTCTTGCTGGATCAGACCAGAGATTTAGTATTTTAGTGTTCTGTTCTCACAGGCTAATGACAGGCTAATCAAATAGCCATCCTATTCTATTTCTTTCTAGTAATTCACATGGCAAATAGAATTATATCATCCTATGGGTTATTTCATGGAACAATCCATTCTGAGGAATGTGAAGCCCTTGCTAACTAAATTCACAGCAGTTCTCATCCTTGGCTGTGCTAGGTATGGCTGCAGGAGTTGTAATTCAGCAATTTTTGGAGGGCCCTAAACCATTTTAAAACATGCACATAAAAAAGACTGTGAAAGAGACAGATTTTTAGATCTTTTCTCCTGGTTTAGCAATTGAAACTATTAATAAAACAATACAAACAAAAATAAGTAGTGTATTATGTTTGCACTAATTGAAATATAGGGTCTTCATGACAATCATTAGCTTAAATGTATCATATCAGGAATTTTAGAAATTTGCAATATTGCAATGCCCTTACATGATAAATTGGGAGTGGAGAATCTCACAAAAATGCTTTTAATTAATAATTAGCATTTATTCTATATATTAAATGAAACAATAACTATAATAAAGCTTTATAAAATATAAAATAAATTATTTCATTGGAAATTTAACAAAGATGCCCCCCCACTCATTTCTCTCATTTCTCATTTATTTTCTAATCCACAATTGTTCTTTATAACTGCTATACTTACAGCCTTCTCATTCATTTTCTGTATTCTTTTTGTACAGAAATATCCATTGAAAGACCTTGCTGACAATTCAAAATGTCAGAATAAACATCAGACATCATTTCTCTTAGTAACACATAGTACTTATTAGTTTAATATGTTTCTTTTATCCATATGTTACGTTAATGGTTAAAAATACTGAATGTCACTAATACATATAATCCAGAAACTATAAGCATACTACCAGCAGAGATGGCAGAGGCAAGCAATATATTTGACAGAAGTTGAACCCAATTAGTTAATTTAATTAACAGATATCAAAATACAAAAAAATATGTGTCAATTTCATTTCTAGTAAAACACTAACTCTTTGAAATCTGCCGTGCTCTACTGACATAAAATTAAAAATTGATTTAGCAATAGACTGTAAGAGATAAATTTAAATATCCTGTAAAGATATTTAACATTTAATGATGTTTAAATATTTAATTCACACATAAACAATCATTTCAGAATAATGTTTTATAATGTAACTAGACATCTCGTGAGCTATTGGGTCATTGTTTCACAAAATATTTCTTACCTTAACCGAGAAACAGAATGACCAAGGGCAAAAAAAAAAGCAGTGGAAATGAGAGCCATGTCCAACTTCTTGCAGTTGATTGCTTTTCAGCAACTGATAATAGAATCAGTCTACCTAGTCCCCAGAGGACTAGGATGAGGTTTGTCTACTTGATTTCCAGCAGCTGAAGGAGGGGCTGGTCTATTCCACATCTGGAGGGCTAAGGTTTAAAGAACCTAGGACTGGTTTACAGAACCTCCGGATGACAGCACAGAAACATGGAAGTAGTCACAGATCTGCAAATTTCTATCCCATGGGAATAATGGATAATGTATCCAATTACTTGGTTCAAAAATTGTTGCCCTTTGATGGACTGCTTCATCCAATTAAAAGTTACAGACAGAAGAGTTTAGTAGTACATAATCTAAACTTCTAAAGCAGTGGTTCTCAACCTGTGGGTCGGGACCCCATTTGGGGTCGAACGACCATTTCACGGGGGTCGCCAAACAATGCAGTCCACCATTTTTTCCCCCTTTTCCTTAGCTGTGCTATTCCCTTTTATTCTATTGGCTTTTGAAAGCCAATAGAATAGACTCTCTTGAATAGAGTCTAATTCTATTGGCTTTCAAAAGCCAATAGGAATTGTCCAGGCTGTCTCTGCCCTGCTGAGCCCGCCAAAAGTCCCATTCTGCAAACGGTGCTGCAGAATGTCCTCGACTTACGACCGGTTGAGTAGTCCTTGACTTACGACCGATTGAGTAGTCCTCGACTTACGGCCAGTTGGGGTCGCGGCATTAAAAAGGTTGGGAACCACTGTTCTAAAGAATACACAATATACCTGGTAGTCCATAGAATTCTTATGCCTCTCCCAAGAAAAAGCAACAGATAGAAAACTGATTTGTAAGCCAAATAATACTTAAGATGACACCATTTCTGAAGCAAATTTTAAAACAAATGACCCTCACTATGTTGTTCATATACCTCCAGGGGTCATGATCCATAAACTAAGAACACTGTATTATACTAATTTATATTTATAAAAGTATGATAGTACAAAAAGAAAGGAAGGGAAAGAGAGATCTTACTGTAGTTAACCAGAATTTTGCTGTAAGAATGCTGTACTGTACTTCTGGATTTACAAATAAAAAAAAAGTTAAAGTGGTCTTATCCAAAGGAAAACCTCAGAATTCAGAAAAAAAGTATATGTAGTAATATCAAAAGTTATGACCCAACTGAGTAAATTCACAATATCCTTTAGGCCCAATATCCCTATAATAAAGCCATCAAATATTTCCAATTAAGACTACATCATACATTTTGATGTGCCATTTTTTCTGGCCCAGGACTACAGTTGACTTGGTGGTATGTTAAGGGCCATATTTCAAAGAATAATAATAAGAAAAGCCAAGATATCTTCTACTATAGTAAATACTGTTTCAATTCATACATTGCATTGAACAAAAATGTGATTTGTTTGGTTAGTGTGTCTGAATTTATAGAATAAATACTCACGTGGAATGAAAGAGTGAGCCATCTTTCTCTAAATATCCGTCATAGTGCACCAACATCAGGTCTCCAAACTTGGTCTTCCTTTTGCAAATGAAAGGTTTATGGAGAATTTCGGTTTTGACTTCTGGTTCTGGAATGAGAGCGCCAGTCACAAAAGCCGCGGTCGCAAAGAGAATCCAAAAGGTACCTTCCATTCTGGTTACTTGAAGATGCGTTTTTCACAGACTGAAAAGCAACCCGCATGACCTTATATGCACCTGGCCATTAAAACAAAAAATCCAACAATGCTCAAATATTACCTCATTACTAAGGAATGATTTCAGATTGCTTTGTTAAAAAAAACCCCTCTAAAACATACTCTCTTTATTTTCTAGTATGCTTAAATTGTATCTTCTGAAAATTCCACTTCAAAGGATTTTAAAACATCGGCCGTTGCAATAAAGGTGGAGATGGAAAAGGCTAAACACGGAGGCGATCTTCCTCCCAACCTTTGTATCTCATCAGCTTTCACTCTCATTCCCCAAATCCGCAGACGTGGCAAATGTGGTCTTAAAGCCCGCAGAAAAGCAGGCAAATCTCCTCCAAGCATTCGTATCCATTTAATAGCCACCTCTCCTCTTTCTCTCTCCTTTCTGGTTGGCTCAACGCGAGGGCTGGGTATTACGCCAGCCACTCCAATTGGGAAGCTGACCTGTTCATCTGCGGGGGGGGGGGGAAGTGAAGGAAGCTCTCATCGCCGAGCGGCGATTGGTCTCCCAAAAATTCCAGCGAGAGAACGACGCGCATGTATTTTGGAATCCCTCAACACAATACCGCCGGTTTCGGAATACCATCATAGACTGACGCCACGCATGGATCCGGATTCTCATTGGTTCCCAAGAACTCATCCGCTCCCTTGGTGTTCTAACCACGCCTTTTCTCCAATCATATGTAAACTTTGCATTCAGAAACGTATTTACGTAACTGCGGGGCGAACAAAGCCCGTAGCAGTAATTAAACCTGCATTTCTACTCTAGTAGCGTAAGGCTACCTAGTTGGCTGGTAGGGTAGGGAGGGGGGAAATAGGGCGGGGAAGGAGACAGGAAGGCGGGCCAGACTTCTGCCAGCCTCAGGATGGCCTTGGCTGTCCGTGCTTCAGCTGAAGGGCTGAGAGCTTAAAAGTTTCCCGGGGGAAGGCCAGGGACAAGGTTTCACCTGTCCCAAGCAGATCTGGATGGGGGGGACCTTGTCATTATGGAGGGGGTACTATACAAATGGACCAACTATCTAAGCGGTGAGTATTACCGGTCCTACCTTGTCTTTGTTGACCCGCTTAAGTTGCGCCATCTCGGCAAATCGTGAACTTGAAGCTGGAAACTGGTCTGTCTAGGTAAAAGAGCGAGGTGGTGACTTTGACAACTAAGAAGAAAAGGAAACTGTTCTGGGTGCCCAATTTACATGCTGCTGACAGTTGGAGGTCCTAAGCTTTACAAAGGCCTGAGGGTGGGAGTCTGGGCTCTGCTGTTTTGCCTTTAAAAATCAAAGATCCTGATTTGGGAGGACAGTGTAGTCCTGGAAAAAAACTCGCATGCTAAAGTTAAATTCAAGTCCTGAAATAGGAGTAGTTGTGGGAAACCATGCAGATGCTGCCCCTAAAGGAGAAAGAATTGGAAAAAAGAGGGACAGTGCATCTTATTTGATTTAAGCAAAAGGGATTTTATGTACCATCTAAAGTTTTTTACCTAGTATTTATCAGCTTTAAGTGGTTGGAAGCAACTATACAGTGCTACCAGTGTAGTGAACTATGAATGAAGAACATCTACAGTTTTTTCTAACCTATTTTAAAAAGTAGACAAGTCAGAGACATAGTTATTATAAATTATGTAAATACATTCTCCAGGTTAGATTTTTTAAAGCTGTTTTCATAGGACAAATTCTATGAAACTAGCTTTTAATCTTCTGATCATCCTCATTACTCATTTTTAATCAGTTTTTTGTGATTTTCTTATAATACAGATAGTCTTTGACCTACAACCAAACTGAGCTCAAAATTTATATTGCTAAGCAAGGCAGTTGTTAAGTAGGTTGTTTTATGAGTTTTTTGCCACAGTTAAGAGAACTGCAGCTATTTTTTTCATGCAGTCATGAAGAACATCTGATTTCTCCCTTTTACTTTGTTTCTTGGAAACTGACTGAGAAGGTTACAAATAGTAATCACATGACCCCAGGAAAGCATAATTGTCATAAATATATGCCAGTTAAATGCCTGCATTTTGATCACGTGACCATGGGGATGCTGCAACAATCGTAAGTGTGAAAGCTGGCATAGATCACTCTTCTAGTGCCATTGTAACTTTGAATGGTTGTAAATTGGAGAGAACCTGTATTACAAACTAAGGATTAAATCTGGTGGCTTTCTGCTTAATCTCTCTAATTAATGCATAATCTGTGAATACTATTTTGAGTAGGCTATGTATTCACTTAGTTCAGTGGTTCTCAACCTTTTTAATGCCGCGACCCCCCACCGGTCATAAGTGAGGACTACTCAACTGGTCGTAAGTCGAGGACTACTCAACTGGTGCAGCACCGTTTGCAGAATGGGACTTTTGGAGGGCTCAGCAGGGCAGAGACAGCCTGGACAATTCCTATTGGCTTTTGAAAGCCAATAGAATTAGACTCTATTCAAGAGAGTCTATTCTATTGGCTTTCAAAAGCCAATAGAATAAAAGGGAGTAGAACAGCTAAGGAAAAGGGGGAAAAAATGGTGGACTGTGTTGTTTGGCGATCCCCATGAAATGGTCGTTCGACCCCAAATGGGGTCCCGACCCACAGGTTGAAAACCACTGACTTAGTTAGTTGTTGTTCTATTCAGGCTTCACTTCATTCGCTTGCTAATCAGAATGCCTGTGTCAATTGCTTTGCTGAAATCCAGACAGTTAAATTCATTTATTTTGATCAAAGATTAGATTATTAAGAAAAAATCTGATTATAAGAATAGCAAATTTAAACAGAATCAAATACAAAAGAACATACGGTACATTCAGAAAGTACTCCGATCCCCGTCACTTCTGTCAAGTTCGTTATCCTGCAGCCTGATTCTACAGTGGTTGAAATTCATTTTTTTCCTCATTATACTCCATATTCAATAATGACAAAGTGAAAACAGAATTTTAGAAATGTCTGTAAATTTATTAAAAAGAAAAAACTGAAATATCACATTGGTATAAGTATTCAGACCTTTGCAGCAACATTTGAAATTTAGCTCAGGTACCTCTCATTTCTCTTGATTGTTGCTGGCTTGTTTCTACACCTTGATTGGAGTCCACCTGTGATATATTAAATTGATTGGACATGATTTGGAAAGGGCACACACCTCTCTATAGGAGGCTTCACAGCTGACAATGCATACTGTAGCAGAGCAAAAGCCATGTCAAAGGAACTGCAGAGCTTAGAAAAAGGATTATTGCAAGGCACAGATCTAGGGAAGGCTACAATACAACTTCTGCTGCACTGAAGGTTCCTAAGAGCACAGTGGCCTCCATAACTCTCAGATGGAAGAAGTTTGGCACAACCAGGACTCTTCCAAGATCTGGTCACCGTGTCAAACTGAGCAATCGAGGGAGAAGGACCATAGAGAAGTGATCAAGAACCCGATGGTCACTGACTGAGCTCCAGAGATCCTGTGTGGAGATGGGACAGAGTTGCAGAAGGACAACCATCACTGCAGCCCTCCACCAATCTGGGCTTTATGGCAAGTGGCTAGACAGAAGCCTCTCCTCAGTGCAAAACACATAAAAGCCCACTTGGACTTTGCAAAAAAGGCCCTGAAGAACTCTCAGACTGTGAGGAACAAGATTCTCTGGTCTGATGAAACCAAGATTGAACTGTTTGGCCTCAATCTAAATGTTACATCTGGAGGAAACCAGACACCGCTAATCACCTGCCTAATATCATCCCAACAATGAAGCATGGTGGTGGCAGCATCATACTGTGGGGGTGTTTTTTAGCAGCAGGGACTGGGAGACTGGTCAGGGTTGAAGGAAAGCTGAATGGATATCTTAAGTGAAAACCTGTTCCATAGCCCTCAGGATCTCAGAAGGTTCACTTTCCAACATGACAACAATTTCAAATATTGTTGCAAAGGGGTCTGAATAGTTATGCCAATGTGATATTTTAGGTTTTTCTTTTTAATAAATTTATAGACCCTTCTAAAATCTGTTTTCACTGTCATTATGGGGTACTCCATGTAGATTAATGAGGGAAAAATGAATTTTAACAACTGTAGAATCAGGCTGCAGCATAACAAAACTGACAAAAGTGAAGGGTATCTGAATATTTTCTGAATGCACTGTAAATAAACAATGGCATATATAAGGCTAGTTCTCTTTTAGTTGCAGTACAATGCGATCAAGCTGTTCTAGTGTCCTCAGGAAAGCTAGCTATATTATGTGTACAGTGTTCATGCAATCTGCTAAGGAAGTTGCCTAATCAAAAAATGAGGTAACGTTTGCCTGATATGACTGATTTTTCCATGCTATCTATGATAGAGCATTGCTTTCAGAGTGTTCATAAATTGGCCATTTTTTCTAGAATCATCTTGGTGAGACTGATTTTAATACCCAGGGTCTTAATTTTTAGCCTTTTTGAAGATAAAAACATTTGCCTTCTTCCAGTTATTTGGCTTGTCACTAGTTCTTCAGAAATTCTTAGAATTAATCCATGTAAATTTCTCCCAGACGGTTTAAGATGCAATGCAATGGGCCCTAGAGATTTAAACTCATTTAAAGAATTCAAGTCCCTACTTAAGCTGAGTAACTTTGGACCAGTCAATCTAAATACGAGAAAGAAGGTGAGTTGGATATGTTTGCCATCTTGAGTTATTTATAAAAATAATAAAGATGAGATATAAATAAATTTTAAAAAATAAAGTCAATAGATATTCCTTGAACATATATCTATCACCTTAAAGTTTTAGTCCTGCCTCTTCGTCCTGATTTGGGCAATTCTGCAGGGAAAAAATAGTGTCTTGTTGGAAGATGTTTAAGCCAATCTATAAATGAAGAAATTTTGACTTTTTCTTGCTACTAGTTAACATTTTGACATTCTTTATGAACAGATGGTATATTGTTCCTTCATTCTTAGCATTCTTACTAACTTCGGTTCATTTCCAGTTTTAATTTTTCCAATACTATACTAGAGGTGAGGGCTACTGTTAAGCTGTTTTCTTTAGTGACGTATCCCAGTTTATGTCTCCTTTTATTATTTTCAGAATTTTAAGAATTTTTTTCTGCCCTTCATTTTTTTACAAAAAGGAATTTCCAAGTAGTTTTTTCCACAATGGAAGTCTGTTTACCATTGCTTTGGCTTTATTTGGTTAAGTGTTTTTTTTTAGCCCAACATATATAATTTGATTGTGCTCATCTTTTCACAATACGATCATTCTAGCTTGGTTTGTGGGCAAGACGGTTACACTGCTTATTTTTGTAATAGAATGATCCTACAGTCTTGAACAAATACACTTTTCTCTAAAAAGATTTATTTACATTATAAACAGTCTAAAGTGCAAGGAGGATGAATTTAGGAAAGAGATATTCATTATACTGTATAAAAAAGGAGTGTCATGTTTTTTTCTTCCTGAATTATAGAACAAGAATCAGGAGTG